CAAGTAGACCAATTATAAAATTATTGTGGTAAAGTACTGGCGTTGATAATTTCGTAAAACACCGAATATGTGGAACAGCATGCGAGGATAGACATGGCTCGATTGATGCGTTATTAAAAGTGTACCCAACACTGAGGAAACGAGGTACCGGGACACGCTAAAATGCATTTCTTAGGCGGGGATCTTAAATGAAACAATTATTATTTTAACCTTGGTAGGATTTTTTCTACATGCAAAGAACTTCCTAAAGTTCTTTATCGCAATACAACAAAAATTAAAGTTAATTAGGGTGTTCCGAAACAAGGTACTGCTTTCAAACTCAAGAAGTCTAAGGCAGACTGGAGCTGAGGTAGAACGTAGTAGTTGCTGATCCGCATTTCGCATCCACATTGTGAAGACCTCCAGCCTGTCGTATTTCTGCACATAGTTAGCTTTTCTATTCTGTCTTCAAAGAAAGATCCAGATCGAATTGATTAATTTCCTCCTCTTTTCCAGAGGCTATAACTCTAAATGAGCTTACTTTTTTAGGGCTTGAAGTCTTATTCCAGTGTAGGAACTGTAGCAGAGCTGGAATTATTAAAAATTCAAAAGAATCATGCACTTTGTGCCAGGTTTTTGAAATTTGAGATAGTGTTAGTAATAAATGTCATGCTCCAATGGTCCAGTATCATAGCAGAAACTATTAGAGATGATGACAAGGCCAACATAAGTGCCAGAATCAAAGTGGCGTGCACGATTTCTCAGCTGATTTATAGCAACTCAACGTACCAATCCACTCGGACCATCAATCGTATCAACGAAAGGACAGAGAAACACCCTTTCCCCTCTACTTGGGAATGAAGCTTCACTCCAATGACAGACAGAATCATAATATTCGAACATTACATGCTCTGGGAATTTCGGTTTTATATGATCGTATCAGCTTGCACAAGCTGTCTGTAAGTGGCGGCAAGAGGATGGAGTCATTGTACCCACAAACGTCAAGAGGAACGTATTTGTGACGACTGCCAATGGACCAGTACAATTCATGGAACTGCCATGTCGCTAACCAGTCATCCCACCTATGATAACATTGGGGAGGTTCCTCCACCACTCACCCTGAACGTTTCTGAAATGCTGTTGAGCTTCCTAACAGCTACACTAGTGGACCGTTTGTTGATGAATATGCTGGAAACGTCTTTATTTCGGATATTAATAATAAATCAACCATCTCAAATATTGAGAAGGATGATGAATTATGGATGGCAGAACGACATTGGTTACAGCATGTGAACAGAGTTCTGAAAGCAAATGGTTGCAAGAGACTCCAGTAACATATTCCAGTTTTTTCTCTCATGGTCAAAATTCAAAAGATGTTATACCAAGATCAACTGTTGGAGTGTTTCCCATAATATACGAGAAGTCGGCAACGATGACCATGCAGAAACATTTTATGCATATTGCTATGAAGGCAATAGAATTCGTGAATCCCGGCCAAATTCCAGTACTTGTGAGAGACTGCCTTCTGCAGAAAAAGTGTCAGGTGTTTATTCAGATGAGGTTGGTGAATCCCAGTTGCTATATGCTTTATGGGTTTGATACATGTCGCAAGAATTCGCGGGAAAGTTGTTAGCTGGATCGGATGTTTTCCATAGCAAAAGTAATCACCTCTGGAATCGCAGTGTCTCTTCTTTGTGGAAAGCATGTAGAGCGTACTAGGTACCTATGCTTAACAACTTACTCTTGCATGGCTACACGTTGTCAAGAAGTATCTAAGCCGCATGAATCCATGGAGGTCTGGAAAAAGTCACTCAATGCAAAATCACCAACGTGGATTGGGTAACTGTTAGAGACTTTCTCCTGTTGATTTGTCGTTTCATCATAGGTTAGCGAGTTGGTAATTGGTTACTTTCTAAGAGTTCCTGCGAAGAACTTTGCTCATGGTTTTTCGTCTTTGGTCACACAAACTATTCACGCTGGCTCCCGGTTTTTTGAATGACATGACACGTTCACAATATACCCATCCAAGTGTCCACGAAGCATTTATGAAAGGGCAGTTTGACGTTCAACGTAGTGAAAAAAAGTTCCCTCATGCCACTAGATCAGAGCCACGAGCATAGTATCCAATTCCTGAAGACGGATAGTGGACCCAACAGTGGAACAAAATTTCTTAAATGATTTTTTCAGACACGAGAACCGGCGTCACCCACCTTCATTATCTAATACGGAAAAACTACTGTCAGGAACTAAATCCGCTCTTTTTGGGTGTCTTCCTGGTTTGCCTGGCTCAGGACGCTCTCAATCATCCAAGGAGGCATCAGTGCTTGTACTGGATATGCCGGCAGTTATTCATATTGTAAAACCACACCGTTTTCGGGGAATATACAAATATGTAGGTACCTACTGCCATTTATAGAAAGCAAAATTACTCCTAACACCACTAGAGTAGATGCAGTCTGGGATACATATCACGATGGCAGTCTTATATTTCAAACCCGGGAAAAACGAGCTGACAGTTCAGAGCATCGATATAGGATGTTTGCAAAAATGCCTATACCAAAGGGTTCAGCATGGGTGAAATTTTTATCAAACTTTCTCAGCGAGAAATTGGTTGAACTTACCACTGGAGGTTCGTATCAGCTGTTCACCACAAAAGAAAATCAGGTGCTAAGCAACAGAACCAGTGACATATCAACCATGTTTCCAAGTCAGCAAGAGGAAACAGACACCAGAATGATGTTGCACTTGCAACACCTGCTGAGTAATGACATGCCAAAGCGTGCACTCTGTAGCTCTTCTCTTTTTTAATGCATTTATGGGGTATGATGAAACATTGTCGATGTTTGGAATAGGTAAAAAGATGCCATGGGTTGCTTATCCCAAGGTCACTACCACGTCCATTGACGTCACAAATAAACCGAATAGTTTCACGTTGGAATCACACCACATGTCTCATCTTGAACGCTTTTGATGTACAGCATAAACTGTGGTGTAGATTCAGTCAATGATGCAAGGAAGTTGATGTTTACCCAAGGCCTAAAGGCCCTTGAATCTACACCTCCATCACAACATGTTTTATACCAGCATACAAAACGAACGCTGCTCACTAACGCATTCATTTGGAAGATTCTATCCAAATCGCCTGATATTCCTAATTACAGTAAATGTGGTTGGGAATAGAATGACAGAACCAAAGAATGGGAACCCTACTGGACTGATCTTTGCCAGTTCTGGGCGCAGTTCCCTAGAGGAAGTAAGAGAGACGTTTCATCCCTTGCATACAACGGGGATCAGCCGCCATATACAAGTTATCCGTAAAAAGACTCAATCAAGAAGGGATAGAAAAGAAATCAGTGTGCGGACGAACACACCTATAGGAATGCAAATATCCCATTTAACCACTATTCTCAAAGAACCACCCGACTCTAACTCCTGCTACCAAGCTTGTGTCAATAAGGTGGTACACAGCAGCCTGTCCAATTGATTTCTTCCAACGGACAAGAAAAATCACTTGAACAGAAGTTGAGCAGCTCGTATAAGAGAAAACTTAAGATAACTACATCTCGGACCGGTGCGCGCGGCAAATCAATAAATCAATGTATTCATTCAAATTTTGGTTGTTCTTCAGAGAAGGCAAAGCTTTTCCTGAAGAAAGGCAAACTAGTCCTCAACCACTCTCCACAACAGGCGTCATTTTCCAGATGCAAGCCATGGATATTCATTACTACTCAATTGTGATTATTTGGTCTCATGCGCAGGCAGACGTAAATGTTATCGAGCCGGGATTCGCTGCAGCCCATTATGCAAGTGTCAAGAAGGTTGCACAAATAACTCATATGATGCATGAAGTACCTAAACAAGTATTATATGTTGTAAACCTGTAATTGACGTTTCTTTATATTTTGTAATGTAAACAATAAATAACATTGAACTGAATTTAAAAAAATATTTCTTTATCTTGCATTATATTGTTCAATCTTTCAACAAAATACTTTATGACCTTGACATTGATCTTGAACAAGAATTAGACCAGAAGAATGGATTCTTCGCATCTTAGAATCCATAAAAAGTGGTACCTACTACTCAAGATTTTGAGTCTTACAGAAGAGCATCTATTGAAAATACCAATACAGATAGCGGCCATATTCGATTTATAGCTAATTTGGCACAAAGTGCACAAATTTTATGAATGCCCCTTTGCTATTGGAGATTTTTCAAAGTTTCTAATAATGTATATGCAAAAGTATACCTTTCCAAGATTATTTTGCAAATATTCAAAAAAAAACATAGATTTTTCAAATGGTCAAAGCTTATCGAGATTCAATTTCAGTTTATACAATTCCAAATTCTCAAAACTTGGCTGTCCACATGTATTGAATGGCGGTCCAAAATCAATCATTATCAGTACCTACATGAAACAGTTCCGCCCCGATCTTCTTCCACCCAAAGACTCAAGCGAAGAGAAAAAAAAAGACCACAGAAGAAAATGTTGCCCAGGTAATTGCAAGAATCTAACCAGCCGCGATACCGTACGGGTAACTGTCTAGTGCTACACGCTCTGCATTCGGTACTATCTACCATGATGAAGTAAAAACAAATTGTGCGTCGCGTACCTATAAGTTACAATTCAATTTGGCGCTTTAAGGTGGTACTTCATCAAGGACGTTTTGGTATAGGTACCATGTGATTGACAAAAAAAAATGGCAAGTGTGACTAGGAAAAGAAGACATAGGAGCAGTAGTCGTTGTAAATTAAGGTACCTACTTATTTTGAGCCCCAAAAAATTGTCAGAAAATTTCCTCATTGATGCAATAAACTTTGTCTTAAAACTGTCAAATAATTACAAGCAATTACCCATAAGTACTTTCTATTTCCGTACATATAGGTGCATACAGGTACCAATAGACAAATGAACCATAACCCAAGGTCGTCTGCTCTACTAATTTTTCTTTGAAACTGGCCACAATAATTATACATACGCCAGGGGGATTAAAGTCGCTCAGAAAAGTAATTGAAAGTGTCCAACTAGTGCGGTTCGGGATTTTAATGGGTTCGGTCGATTTTTGAAATTATGAAGAAATTGCTCAAGAAAAAACAGCAGAAGATACGCGACAAGAGCGGCTACTTTAATGTCAGGTATAAAATAATAATGTTCTTTGGTATTAGTTCCTGTAATAGTAACAAAAACAGAATAGGTGACATTTGTGAGATTCTTCAGAGTTGCCTTTATTTGGTATCCTATAATGGTACTACGTGCGACGTTTTATCAAATCTTTTTTAAGAAAAATTGAGTACTTTTTATATAACTATCAATTAATAATTTCCTAATGCAATAATCGTCCTTATCAGATCAATTTGTGAATTCAATTATCCACACATTAATTTGTTTTAGTAGAAACTAGTTCAGGAAATTGTCTTTGCGTTGTTGGGTTCTGTTGTCCGGTGTTTTTTTTTTTTTCAAGAGAAAGTAAAATCTGATATAATGGATGGGCCACCTTCAAGAGAATTTGCTTGACAAGTGAAAAATCATATAAGAAACTTGATGTGACATTGTGAGCTTTTCATTGACAACTCTGAAAGTTTGTATCTTCTAATTTGATGAATGCAGTATAATTTAGATTTCCAAAAGTGAAAAGAAAGTCTCAGCCCCTGAGCTAGAATTTCAAAGATGGACCTCTGCGGGACGAGCGTAGCGAGTTCCGCAGCCATCTACTCACCAATATACTGTTGAACTATTCAAATAAGACACTCACCTGAAACGTGTAGTTTTTGAACTAATGGGAAAAGTTCACAACTGAGTGAATCAGGTTAGTATTGTACTTAAACAACATATTGGTGAATATATGGCTGGGTCCACCCCTAAGTTCCGCAACAATCCACTCGTTTGTACTTGAATAACTTGTCACAATATATTACTAGTTTGGTATAAAGTAACATTACTAATTCCTGTTAAAAGGCATATTGACAAAAAGTGGATAATCTTACAAATTCTGACTTTATAAGTTACCTACTGTTCAAGTACAAATAAGTGGATTGTTGCGGAACTTATGGGCGGATCTCTGCGGGACGAGCGCAGCGAGTTCCGCAGCCATCTAAACACCAATAGACTATTGAACTTTTCAAGTAAGACATTCACCTGAAATGTGTAATTTTTAAACTAATGAGAATAACACACATTTGAATGAGTCAGTTTAGTATCGTAATTCAACAACATATTGATGAATAGATGGCTGCGGAACTCGCTGTGTTCGTCCCGCAGATGTCCACCCATAGGTTCCGCAACAATCCACTCGTTTGTACTTGAATAACTTGTCACAATGTATTACTAGTTTGGTAAAGTAACATTACTAATTCCTGGTGAAAGGCGAATTGACAAAAAGTGGATAATCTTACAAATTCTGACCATATATAATAAGTTATTTTCTAAATACAAATAAGTTGATTGTTGCGGAACTTATGGATGGACCTCTGCGGGACGAGCGCAGCGAGTTCCGCAGCCATCTACTCACCAATATACTGTTGAACTGTCCAAATAAGATACTCAGCTGAAACGTGTAATTTTTAAACTAATGAGAATAACGCACATTTGAGCGAGTCAGTTCAGTATCGTAATTAAACAATATCTTGATGAATAGATGGCTGCGGAACTCGCTGCGCTTGTCCCGCAGAGGTCCACCCATAAATTCCGCAACAATCCACTCGTTTGTACTTGAATAACTTGTCACATTATGTCACTAGTTTGGTGAAGTAACATCACTATTTCCTGTTGAAAGGCAAATTGACAAAAAAGGGATAATCTTACAAATTCTGACTTTATATAATACCTAAGTTATTGTTCAAGTACAGGGTGTTTTTTTATATATTGACACCCCACTTACCTTACAGCCTTCACTTTTACAAGTAGATGAAAGGTGTGAATAGAAAAGTTGTACATAAAGAACTCGATGAGACCTTTAAAAAGAGGTATGACACGACCCATATTCCCTATTCAGATTTGGAGGGGGTTGAAGCTACGGGGATGAAAAAGACTGAAAAATAGTTCCCCCTCAAATCAAACATCGACGTGTTTGGGTGTTTTCTCATCCCAAACCCAATAAATCGGGGTGGACTGTTTTCCCTGGGACACCCTGTATATATGGTTCACAAAAACAGTAGTAGGATAGTATTTTTACAATTTTTGAAGCCACATATATGAGAGATTACTCAATCAATAATAGATCGGGGCATTGTGCTCTTCAAGAATATAGAATCAAATATAGGGCATCCTATTTGAAAAAAGCTGAAAGCTTGCAAAATTTCACATTTCTGACATTCAAATTTTGTTTCTGACCATGGTTTCTAAAAATTCAGCCAAAACTGTACAACTTTTGTATTTACACCTTTCTTCTACCTGTGAAGGTAAAGGCTGTAGGTGGGCTGTCAATATATAAAAAAACACCCTGTACAAATAAGTGGATTATTGCGGAACTTATGGGTGGATCTCTGCGGGACGAGCGCAGCGAGTTCCGCAGCCATCTACTCACCAATGTACTGTTGAACTGTTCAAATAAGACACTCACCTGAAACGTGTGGTTTTTGAAGGTAAAGGCTGTAGGTGGGGGGTCAATATATTAAAAAGCACCCTGTACTTACCTATTTAAAATCACCTTATTCTCCTAAATAGTTCCCCCATTCCCATATTTTTATGGGCCATTCTTTCGAAAAACCGTATCTTGCACAATGCGCTGCCAAAATTAACCCAAACTATCCCAATCTGGCTTACTTTAACTTAAACTGCCCCCCTCCTTTGCTATAGCTCAAATGGGCTTCTCACAACAACTTTTGGCTTCCTGAAGTTGTTTCTCTCAACTTAATAAGTATCTTTCCATCTATCACGACAGGGAGAGCCTGTTTGAGAGCTGTTAGGCGTAAATTTGTTGGCCAAGGCTCAGTTCTATCTACAGGGTGGTCAATTCATCTATACCAAGACCTTGTAGAGCAAAATTTGTTGTCAGACGTACAAAATATAAAATTCAATATTGACTTCTGCTGGGTGGGCTATTCATCTATCAGAAAAGTTTCTGACTACGCTATGCTAGCTAGGCTAGGCTGGTTAGGCTACGCTGGCTAGGCAAAACTAAGTAAAGAACTGAAAGGGCAAGACTCTCCAGGATAGTTTCGAATATGGCCCACCCTCAAATCAAAATTCAAACACACAATGATTTTTAATAAAATTTTCAACCATATGGTTTAATTATACCACTCTCAAGTTAATTATACTTTTATCTGCAATATGGCACGGCTGGTAATTTCTCTAGTCGATAGAAAATAAATGCTTAGTTTAAATAATTGATGATAATTAATTATATTTAGATCAAATGCAAAATAATCGTTCTTTCAACGCGTTCTTCCTTTACTTAGAGAAAAAAAACAACTGTAATGCTTTAATTATAGCTTTAAGATTTTAATTGCATTAATTACCAATGTTTATTGGGAATTGAAAAAGATGTATAGAAGGATCTTTAGGTAAGTAAACAGGAAATCAATAATATAAAAAAATAATAATAATGGAAAGTAATTTCTAAAAAAAAAAAAGTTCATGTCTAAATTGCTCGTCCTTGCTCAACAAACAAACATAAATTACGTTTTTTTTCTTACAAAGAGAGAGTGCAAGTGACCACAAATCAAAAAGGCAAACACCTTTCTGATGGGTTGGATGATTTTTATTTGATTTCGGTGAAATTTATTTCGGTGCGAGCACACGGACGGGCAGAATCAGAAAGTAGAACTACTTAGCTTTTAGATGTCCGACATAAATGACTAATTTTTTTTCTTCTATTTGCAAATTAGTTCCCTCTGGCTTGCGCGCATTTTATTATATTTTTTAATGCACCAGTAATTTTTTTAATGTCTGGCGGCATGTGCAATACCTTATGCCTCTAAAAGTAGAAATTTGTTTGGGTGGTTTTTCTCTTGTAATAAAATTTACGTAATAAAGTTACGTAAAAAAAACAGAAGATAATACCACAAACTAATGGAGCGAAATAGGTATCAGATTGTTCTAAACCATTTAGATGGCGATTTTAGCACACGACATCCTGAATTGCGTCAAGATTTAATTATTGTAAATTGCCTTTATATTCAAATACTAATAAAACAAATTCAAGAAAAAAGTAAAAAAAATCGGATATAATTGACAACAAATTTATTATAAATACGTAATCAAGGTCGATTTTAATTTAAAATAAATATGAAAATTGTTTCTTTTTTCTTTTGAAAAACCTTAGTTTGAATTACGTAAATGAAACAATCCATTTATTAATTTGTTACGTATGAATATTGCAAGGATAATTAAAACTTATTACTTAAAGCAAAAAATTTGCATGGATAATGTTTTGCGTCTTATAGGAAAGTATGATTTTGAGAACCCAAACTAATCTACACTAAATTGTACAGTCACTGTTTTAGATGAAATGTCAGGAGTTATAAATCGATCAGTAGGTAGTTTCAACTGAGAAAATAGTTATTTTCTCTCACAGTTTTCCTGCAGATGCAGAACTTTTATATTACCCGAATCAAGATAGCATTTGACCTAGACAAAAATAATGTAAAGCTGATTTTTGGTAGAGAGCTAAATTGCAACATACCTACTTAAAGTCCTGGCCAATCCTCCTCGCGACCCCCTTTTTTCACCCCCTAACCCCCACCCTTTTAATATTTTGGTGATTTTCTCGGGAACTATCCACTTTAAGGAAAAATGTCACAAGAGCATTTTTGGAGCTGACAAAATTTCCCTTGCAGCGACGTATTGGTAGTCTATATATTGCCACGTAATAATTAATTAAACAGCGGTTTCAATATATGTTTGGTTCTAGGAAGTCGTTCTATACATCAATGGATTTGCAATTTAATCACCTACAAATAAATTTGTAATGATATTTTCCGCCAAGTTTATAGTTTTTGATTTAAATCAATAAATTCGTGTCATTCAATAACTTCCAATAATTAATCTCGGGGCAAACTTTTTGATACGCCGCTGGTGTGTACCACGTGATAATATATGGAAACCTTGGGCTCACAGTACGTCGTTGCAAGGGAAATTTTGTCAGCTTCAAAAATGCTTTCTTAATATTTTTCCCTAAAGTGGATAGTTTTTGAGAAAATCACCACAATATTAAAAGAGGGGTTTTGGGGGCGAAAAAAGGCAGGAGGAAGGATAATCCAGGACTTTTAGTATATTAATATTTAGCCCTAAATTATGGTATATAGGTACCAAAAATTATTTACTTATTTTTCCTTTAAGTACCCCGAGGAAGTACTTAGTCACGATTTTTTAGGACAAAAAATTTCAATTTATGGAGATCTTCTTGGAACCCATAGATCTTTATGGATATTCTGAGATTTCCAGGCATATCCTATTGGATCCCCATAGAGATCATTCGAATTTCCATGTATCTCCTCCGGACCTCTATGTACATTAATAACCACGGTATAGGTACTAGTCAGAAAAATGTGCGCACGCAATTAGGCTTTTCCAATTATACACGACTATGCAGCCAAAATTATCGGATCCCCACGTATTTCCACCGGATCTTCACGTATCTATCTCCAATATGGATCTTCATGTATCTCCACGGATATTCATGTATCTATACAGATACCCATGAATTTTCACAGATTTCCACAGATCTCCATAAGATCTCCATCCCGTAGAGGCCAGAAGATTTCCACAATCCACATACATTTGGATTTCCATGGATTTCCTATTGTATCTTCCCCAGACCTCCATATACATTATTAGATACCCACTGTACTAGTTAAAATGATGTGCGCACGCAATTACGATTTTCCGATTCTACACGACTGCAGCCGAAGTTATCGGATCTCCACGTATTTTCACCGGATCTTCACCTACCTATCTCCAATGTACAAATACCCATGGATTTTTATAGATCTCCACGGTTTTCCATGAGATCTCTATCCAGTAGAACAGAATATTTCCACAGTGGCTACCCACTCGGAGGTAGTCCATTTGTGGAGATCTTCTTGTAAATTCATAGATTTGTATCGATATCCTTGAATCTCTAAGGAGATCATTTGGATTTCCATGAATTTCTTTGTATCTCCTCCAGACCTTCATATATATTTATAACCACGGTATTAGTTAAAATGATGTGCGCACGCAATTAGGTTTTTCCGAATCTACACGACTGCAGCCGAAGTTATCGGAGCCCCACGTATTTTCACCGGATCTTCACGTACCTATCTCCAATGGATTTTTATGTATCTCCACAGACATCTGTGTATCTACACAGATACCCATGGATTTTCACAGATCTCCATGGATTTCCATGAGATCTCCATCGACTCCATCCAGTAGAACAGAAGGATGGACAATGGCTACCCCCTTGGAGGTAGTCCATTTGTGGGCATCTTCTTGTAAATCCATAGATGTCCTTGAATTTGAAAGGTAGTTCACGTCCACACACTTGTAAAGAAACGAAATTGCAGCTTTTTTGGACTTTTTTTATTCACGTATTGCCAATTGCCAACGTTTCGACACGGATGCGTGTCATCCTCAGGGCTTGTCTCCGGCAGCTGATAAGAAATGTCCTTTGGGTTGTCAAACTTGCCAGTTTTTCCGACGATCGAGACCAAGTTTTGAGGAAAGATACTACATCCAGTCCATACTGATCTTCAATATCCTCGAAAAAACCCATGTCATGGAGAAAAGCCAACGATTTGTAATTTGAAAGGTAGTTCACGTCCACACACTTGTAAAGAAACGAAATTGCAGCTTTTTTGGACTTTTTTTATTCACGTATTAATCAATTGCCAACGTTTCGACACGGATGCGTGTCATCCTCAGGGCTTGTCTCCGGCAGCTGAAAAGAAATGTCCTTTGGTTTGTCAAACTTGCCAGTTTTTCCGACGATCGAGACCAAGTTTTGAGGAAAGATACTACATCCAGTCCATACTGATTAATACGTGAATAAAAAAAGTCCAAAAAAGCTGCAATTTCGTTTCTTTACAAGTGTGTGGACGTGAACTACCTTTCAAATGTAGTATCTTTCTTCAAAACTTGGTCTCGATCGTCGGAAAAACTGGCAAGTTTGATATCCTTGAATCTCTAGAGAGATCACTTGGATTTCCATGGATTTCTTTGTATCTCCTCCAGACCTCCATATTGTCGACACCGAGCCTGCATAACACACCGTACATGATTTCAATAATGAGTTTATTACGAATCGACAAAATACAGGTCATAATTAACCTGGTTAATTATGATGAGACAAGCAATAAAAGAATATAAATTGCGCCGCGAGCCGCAGCAAAGGCAGACTTAAACCAGTGCAATTACCTCTCGTTGGGAAAGCCCCTCTGGAATTAAGTCTCCCCAGTGCAAGTACCTCTCGTTGGGAAAGCCCCTCTGGGTATCTTCAGCCTTATCGTTGTCCAGCGCAATGACTACATCCACGTCAGTAAAGTTCAACAATAAGGGTACACGAATATATAAACCATAACTGGTCGCTGACGATCCCACATCGAAACCCAACATCTAATAAAGCACTATTAGAAAATATTGAAAGAAAACTAAAATATGGACAAGCAGCTGCCAGAACGTACCATTGGACGACAGAACGTCACAGTATAATGGCGATATGGAACACAGTTTTAATAGTAATATTGATATACGTTTTACAGAAAAGACCACAAACATTAATCCCTGCCCTCTTCAACCCTAGGAGAGGCCAAGAAAACCAACGCCAACACCCACCAGAACAAGAGGTAATATTCTACACTACATGCTGTCTGTTTGTACTATTCCTCATGTACCTAGTGGGAAAAGGGTTTATGTAGGTACCTACAAAATAAAGCTAAAAAAGAAAGTCTGCCACATAAATCAGAAAGGAACAATCGGGCGTAGAAAACCACGAATAAATATTGCGAATCACAGGCCATAGACCTGACAGACCGCTGACATGCACTTTTCATAAAAATGAGTGCGACGCGAGCACTACACCAGGGAAGCTCGAGATGATTTTTAATTTTTTTTTTTTTTTTTCTAGTGTTTAGTGATTAGGATGTTTTTTAGTGACTAGGCTATTTTGTAAATGTTGTATGTTTTTAAATGTAATGGATGTCTCTTCTAAGCATTGGGGACCAATGCTTCTCGAAAAGGGGGCATATTTCAACACCGAGCCTGCTTGGGAAAATAACACACTGTACATGATTTCAATAATGAGTTTATTAGGAATCGACAAAATATTAACCTGGTTAATTATGATGAGACAAGCAATAAACAGATATAAATTGCGCGAGCCGCAGCAAAGGTAGACTTAAACCAGTGCGATTACCTCTCATTGGAAAAGCCTTTCTGGAATTAAGTCTCCTCAGTGCAAGTACCTCTCGTTGGGAAAGCCCCTCTGGGTATCTTCAGCCTTATCGTTGTCCAGCGCAATTACCTCTTGTTAGGAAAGCTCCTCTAGACAAGGCATAAGGGTGACGATAACTAACCGACAGTCCCCCAAGCAGCGTTGATGTGTGGCTTATTATAAGGACCCCAGTGTTAGAAGGGTCATGCATCCTATAGGACTAGCGTATATGTAAGGGCATATTTGGGGAAATATATATCTATACTCTTATACAACTTGAGCGAGTTTCTCTCCATCGACCCCCAAAGCTATAAACCCCCCATGTCACCCCCGTAAGGCGGGCAGTTGTGACAATACAAATATATTATTAACCATGGTACTAGTTAAAATGTGCGCACGCAATTACGCTTTTCCGATTTTACACGACTGCAGCCGAAGTTATCGGATCCCCACATTGAAAAAAAGGATCTCTTTAACGAAATGAATATGACTTTTACTCAAAAGATTCACGCTTTTTAATAGGTTCAAGAGCGATGTTTCTGTATCCAAAGCATTTAGTCTCTTCCTATAGATTGTCTAAAATTACTTTAGGCAAGATCAAAATCTCTCTTACATGTTGGATTTGAGCTAAGACAGTAATAGTTTTCAAGGGAAGAGCCAAAATATCTCTTCGGAAGATATTTGTCTTTTTCTTTCAAGAGAACTATTTTTCTTGAACTAAGAACATTTTTCTCCAAGCAATAGATATTCTTTTATAAGAAAATATTTTCTTTTGTCGATAATAATTCCTTATTCAGAAAGTTGACTACTTTGGTTCAAGACTAGCATTTTTTTCAGTGCACGTATTTTCACCGGATGTTCACGTACCTATCTCCAATGGATCTTTATGTATCTCCACAGATATCAATGTATCTACACAGATACCCATGGATTATCACAGATCTCCACGGATCTCCATGAAATCTCCATGCCGTATAGGGCAGAAGATTTCCACAATGACTACCCCCTCGAAGTACCTTTTTGAAATAAGATGGGTAGTTAGATTTCGGACACTCTTTACTATTGAGTTTTGTATTGCTCGTTTGCATTTTTGATTGTGAATAATTGGTTACCGTCAACCAAAGCTGAGAATTTCTGTAGAATAGATTGAAAAAAAAATTAAGTCGAGTGAAATGTTAATAATTTTTTTTGTTTTAGTGCCAACACCCAAATGGACAATGACGTCACACCGGTCTATCTAGCAGCCCAAGAAGGCCACTTGGACGTCCTGAAATTTTTGGTTCTCGAAGCCGGTGGTTCTCTATATGTCCGAGCCAAGGATGGCATGGCACCAATACACGCCGCTAGTCAAATGGGCTGTTTGAATTGCGTTAAATGGATGGTAAGATGGAATAATCATATCAGTAAATTTGGAAATTTTATTTTTTTTTTGGGTTTTTAGATTCAAGATCAAAGTGTCGATCCGAATCTTAGGGACGGTGATGGAGCTACTCCACTTCACTTTGCAGCTTCCAGGGGTCATTTGGATACAGTGCGTTGGCTTTTGAAGCATGGAGCATTGTTGAGCTTGGATAAATATGGGAAAAGTCCTATTAACGATGCTGCTGAGAATCAACAAGTAGAGGCAAGAATTTCAATTTCTGTAAAACTATTTGAATAATTTTCAAAAAAATTTCTAGTGTTTAAACGTGCTAGTCCAGCATGGCACTACCCCAGATTATAACGATTCTGATAGGATAAGCAATGGAAGGAATTGTTCTTGCACTACAAGAAAACTTGATCATTTAAAACGAGTAAGTCACTTATTATTCTTGAGCAACAAGTACCCAGTTTGCAGTTTCAGTAGGTACATACCTACCTACTCGATATAAGTACTACTAGTCACTTAAATAATAGATATCAAATTTATGAAAAGTAAAAAAAATTTAAAAGAGATTTGCACAACGATAATATGCATTAGTGAATGTGGGCGGCTTAAAAGTATTAGTAACTGTTAGAATGTACCAAATTTCAATCTACTTTCAAAGTAGAATAATTTGAGATTGTACTTGAAAGTGAATTTTATTCATAGGGTAATAGTACGGGGTCTGAGTGTTCCAATTGCAAACCAAAACCGACTCTGGCCAATTCAAAAAACTCTAAAGCCTCTTTGAACTCACTGGAACCATTCTATTTGCATCCGCCTCTGAGCGGACGCAGCTTAGAAGCACCACACGCACCAGAAAATGGACTTTACATCAATCCCATGGCAAATCATAGACACAGGTTTAAAAATTAGCATTTCTCAACTTTTTTCAAATTAATTTGTTATTATTTTAGTGCGTCTACTTGTTCCGAATCCAGTTCGGTTGGAAGCGAATCCTTTTACCTTCATAATCCGAATGAAGTCGCTAAAGAAATTGTTTATAATCGAGTCAAAGATTTGTTTGATGCTAATGGAGGTGATCAACGGTCGTTATCTGCTCTCAAAGGTGAGTGTTACATAAAAGGCTAAAGCTAATTAGAGGTGAATCGATTAATACATTCCTGAATTCGATTTACAAGAATCGCTAACAATCAGTTAAATACCTACTAAAGAACATGTGTAGAATTCAAATTTACCTGCAGGAAGTGAGTTTTTATTAAACAGGAAAGAAAATCGATACTAATTAATTATTTCAAGCAGGCGATAATAAAAGTATAGTTTAAAACAATTTTAATCATGTAATATTCGTGTGTTTAACGCCCCAATATTTTGTAATTTTTAATTACTATTGCTTCACGTTGGTACCCGGTAATGCTATCCCCAGTTAGTATACAGAGTTTGATGGGTAAATAGCATTTACTGTTTTTTAAAAATGATGGACACTTTTTCATGTGTTTTAAAAGATGGCACTTTTTGTAAGTAATTATTTACTAATTAATTTTTAATTGTATTGAATTCGGTTTCAGTTAAAGTCGAAGTTCATTCTTCCTCATCAGGTGCTGGTTCTGATGAAAACTTATCTTCCTCTGACTTATCTTCAGTGAGATCAAATGACCACGAAAACGATTATGAGGATATTTATCTTGTTAGGGAAGAAGCTAGAAAACAGGATAGGACTGTGAGTGTAAATGGGAGATCAAGGTCCAGAGATTCAGGTATTAATAATTAGGTGAAATGATAATTTAGTATCAATCAATGATTATTTTTGTCCAGGTTCTCATAGTAGATCTGGTTCTGTTAGTTCTTCTAATTCTGGCTGTAACGTTGTTGTTAAAATGGCACCAACATCCATCGGTGGTAGCAAAAAATCCAATGAGTTTTTGCCGAAGCCCCAAAAATTGGAAAAATCAGACAAAAAAGAACTGAAAAACTCCAACAATGTAAGTGTTTGAAATGTTTAAGCAATTTAAAAAAAAATTATAATATTTAAGGAAAATCGTAGCCTAAATGAAGAACATGCTAAAGAGAAACCTGGAAGTTATCAATTAAAGAGGGTAAAGGCATGTTGCATGAAGATTTTTGTGATAAATTAGCTTCCATGTACATTTTTGTTGCCTAAGACTGACTCAGATAAATCAAATCAAATCAATCTAATACCTATTTCCAGGCTATTTCCGCTCCAATCGAACCAATTTCGCCGCCACCACCGCCTCCGCCGCCTCCAAACAACTCACGGCTACTAATAAACCCCAATGATCCCCATTTGAATGAACCCAGAGGTGCTGAAATGGTAGAAGTTATCGAGGAACCCACTTTAAGACCTTCGGACATTGTTAAAGGGATGTGCAGGAGTATGTCTGCATTGTGTAAGTGAATTTTATGTTTTTGCGATAAAATTTGGGTTACCTCAATAATTCTAATGTTATACATATTGTACATTTAACTACCAGACCATAAAACTGAATTAAATCAATTAAAAGTGTGTCAGGTTTTGCACCAATCACCTACCAAAACTAATCCAAAAAAAAATTGTATCTATTTCATTAAGATCTCTCTTAGATCACAAAGTTCGTGTTTTTGGTGGTTCAAACATCATTATTCACTAATTAGTGGTGTGGTACTTTCCACTATGTGCATTCAAAAGCAAAAAATATAAAATAAATAACCGTTTTATCGCCAATAATTATAACCGATCCGAACGGTACGGTCGCCCATGAGTGCAATTTGCAGAAGAAATATTCATTAATTCGCCGTATGCGGTGTGTATTTTCAATTTTTTCTTCTTTCACTTAGCATCGGGCGGCCCCCTCTTTCATCTGGTACTGCGGATGGTACCCAGAGTCGGTAGTACTTTCGCGAACTTTGCAACGAAAGCTAATCATTTCCGTTTTTTTTTTCTTGTTATGTGAAGCTATTGTTGACACCCATAAGTTTTTTCCTATGTCTAGTACAATATGGATGAAATATCCAGGTAATAATTTCTTTAACTTTATATTACAAGGCCTCTTTCACTATAAGGAAACCCTAATAATTTGTTCTAATAGTCAACTAATGTTTTAAATACAATTTAAACCATAAAGTAGCTCGCTATAGTAGCAGTTGTCGTATATGTATTGAAAGTCCGTTCAACCGGTAACCGAAATCAGCTCATGTGTGGAAATCTATTGACCGTAGAAAAGGAAACCTTGACACCAGCTGACTATAATAACTACCCACATAAAATCAATGAAAGTTTAAGAACATCTGCAAGATGATAATTACAATATGGATTTTCATTTCAGCGGCTCGTCGTCTGAACTCTTCATGCTCAGACCTCACCATTGTAAGCTTAAACGATGAAGATCGTCAATCGATTACAAACTCTATAACACCTTCTCCATCCAATCGACAACGCGTATTACCATTCGTACCGCCAAGTTTCCCAGTTGCTGATCCCAATAAACTGATCAAACCTTCTGAGTATCTTAGAAGTATTGGCGGCAGCGAAAAAAGGATTGACAGAGTTGGAATTGAACGGCCACCAAGTGATGACCATGATGTGGAGACACTGATTAATGGAGATAATAATGAAGATGTTAAACATGGGCCAAGTGGACCTCCGCCTCCTCCTTTACCAGAGTTTAATGGTAATTGTTTTGTTTGGGTTTTGAAAATTATTTATTGGGATTTATTTCAGGCGATTTAACTCAAAACGCCATGTCAAAACAAAGCACTCTTATGCACAAGGATAAAGTGAAAACGATGCAACCCTTGTCAGCAATCAGTATTCAAGATTTGAATTCTGTACAGCTCAGAAGGACCGAGAAAGTTGTCGCTTCTAAGGTAAAGTCATATTTTTGTTTTAGTAAATTCTGATGTTTATGCTTTGTTACTGTTCTGGATCTGGATTTGTTGTTGCTAGCTACCTTAGTACCTACTAAAATGATAAATTTTGTATTTAAATGATCATTCGGGACTTCCCAAACTCCATACACTAAATTATTCTGAGATTTGGAGCCGGAGTCCATGAAAAAAGGCACTCAGAAAAATTGATAAATTTCCCTTAACCTTCCCTGTTAGTATGAATCTAATCCCATGTACAAATAAGTGGATTATTGCGAAACTTATGGGTGGACCTCTGCGGGACGAGCGCAGCTAGTTCCGCAGCCATCTACTCACCAATATACTGTTGAACTATTCAAATAAAACACTCACCTGAAACGTGTAGTTTTTGAACTAATGGGAAAAATTCAAAACTGAGTGAATCAGGTTAGTATTGTACTTAAACAACATATTGGTGAATATATGGCTGGGTCCACCCATAAGTTCCGCAACAATCCACTCGTTTGTACTTGAATAACTTGTCCCATTATGTTACTAGTTTGGTAAAGTAACATTACTAATTCTTGTTGAAAGGCAAATTGACAAAAAGTGGATAACTTACAAATTCTGACTTTATATAATAAGTTATTGTTCAAGTACAAATAAGTGGATTGTTGCGGAACTTATGGGTGGACCTCTGCGGGACGAGCGCAGCGAGTTCCGCAGCCATCTACTCACCAATATACTGTTCAAATAAAATAGGTACCGTAAGGTGGGGTTAGTTGCAACATTTTCAAAATTCTTTTGCCGATACCTTCTTTATTTTTTTGTCGAATTTGACCTAATTAGTGCCAAAATTTTAGTCTTGTGGTCTAGTATCCGATTCTAACAAAAAACTTTGAACAATATTATTATTTGATATATATATATTTTTTAAACTGGGTGTTGCAAGTTGAACACCTGCAAGAGGATACTTGCAACAAGTGGCTTTTTTCAGTAGTAATTGTATTTAGGAACGCGTGTTAACTTACTTGCAACACAAAATATTTAAAAAAAATAAATTTGGCTAATTTTTGCCAATTTTGGTCAATTTTTCCTCCTCTTCCTTTGGAAATACACGCTGCCTACCAGGATCAAGGGGAAACAAGTTTCTTCTTTTCCGAGAAAGCGTTGATGGGTCAATCCCGAATTTTCGCGATGCTTCGCGAATCCCTGATCCGTTTTCGATGGCCCTTAATACATTTTCCTAAGTTTCGTTGGAATAATTACGGTAGGTCCTACTCCCACAAAACTAGATATTCAATGTTTTAGACTAAGCATTCAAGCACATCATATCCAAATTTGATACAAATCCTAGGGTAAATAAGCTCTGCACAGGAAAAGTTATATTGCAACAATTTAGAGCACTTATCAGAGCTGTCAGAAAATGGCGCCAAATTTTTCGTGTTTAAAATTTTTCAACGCTAAACCTACTCACATTTCCACCTACTGATCCGTATCTACTAAACGGTAACACGTTAGCGGTTGACGCGCGACTCAAGCGAGAGGAGGGTGAAAGCAAAAATTCCACCCGATGAATATTGTTGCAAGTTGTGCCACTGTTGCAAGTACCCCCACCTTACGGTACTCACCTGAAACTTGTAGTTTTTGAACTAATGAGATTAAATGACATTAGAGTGAGTCAGCTTAGTATCGTACCTACTTGAAGAACGTATTAATAAATAGATGACTGCGGAACTCGCTGTTTGTACTTGAATAACTTGTCACATTATGTTACTAGTTTGGTAAAGTAACATTACTAATTCCTGTTGAAAGGCAAATAGACAAAAAGTGGATAATCTTACAAATTCTGACTTTAAAGTTACTGTTCAAGTACAAATAAGTGGATTGTTGCGGAACTTATGGGTGGACCTCTGCAGGACGAGCGCAGCGATTTCCGCAGTCATCTATTTATTAATACGTTCTTCAAGTACGATACTAAGCTGACTCACTCTAATGTCATTTAATCTCATTAGTTCAAAAACTACAAGTTTCAGGTGAGTACCTATTTTATTTGAACAGTATATTGGTGAGTAGATGGCTGCGGAACTCGCTGCGCTCATCCCGCAGAGGTCCACCCATAAATTCCGCAACAATCCACTTATTTGTTTGTACTTGAATAACTTGTCACATTATGTTACTAGTTTGGTAAAGTAACATTACTAATTCCTGTTGAAAGGCAAATAGACAAAAAGTGGATAATCTTACAAATTCTGACTTTATATAATAAGTTATTGTTCAAGTACAGGATGTTTTTTTATATATTGACACCCCACCTATACCTTTACAAGTAGATGAAAGGTGTAAATACAAAAGTTATACAGTTGGCTAAATTTTTAGAATCCATGGTCAGAAACAAAAATTGAATGTCAGAAATGTGGAATGTTGCATGCTTTCAGCTTTTTCCAAATGAGATGTCCTATATTTGGTTATATGTTATTGAAGAGCACAATTTCCCGATTCGGAAACTGTATAGTTAGTTTATATTTGGTTGAGCCGTCTCCAACATATTTGGTTCTAAAAATTTTAAAAATACTATCAGAAAAACCAAGTACCTACCTCAAATTTTACCTGCAGCTTTCACCTGTATAGGTAGAATGGTTCACAAAATCAATAGTAGGATAGTATTTTCACAATTTTTGGAGCCGAATATATGAGAGACAAATATAGTCAAACTATATATTTTTGGAATCGGAGCATTGTGCTCTTCAAGATTATAGAATGAATTAATACAGGGCATCCCATTTGAAAAAAGCTGGAAGCATGCAAAATTTCACATTTCTGACATTCAAATTTTGTTTCTGACCATGGTTTCTAAAAATTCAGCCAAAACTGTACAACTTTTGTATTTACACGTTTCTTCTACCTGTAAAGGTAAAGGCTGTAGGTGGGGTGTCAATATATAAAAAAACACCCTGTACAGTTTTTGAATAATATGTTATATCGGGTCTTCAAAAAAAAAAACCAATCAAAGATTGCTTTGGTTACGAAAACGTACGTCGCATTATTGTTTGTTTATTGGTCAGGATTTTTGACATGACATTTTGACATTAAATTTCATTGACTGACATTGTCAAAACTAAAGAAAAATATTGCGAAGACCTACGTTCAAAAAACCATAGCAATCTTTGATTGGTGTTTTTTTTGAAGACCCGATATAATTTTGTATATTTTCGTATAAATCTCCATTCGTAGGTCGATCGAGGATACGCCATTGGTGTCACCCTGTTTCTTACAACCCCCTTAATCTTCCATGTTAGTATGTACGAATTTAATCCCATAATTCCCCAAACTAACCCAAATTGCTTAACGTGATTTTATTTCTGAAACTATGAGTCCAAATGACCCGAAATTTTCAAGGATTGTATTCCTTTACTTTACTAGAATAAGAATCGCTGAAAATTTCAGCTTTCTATCTCCAATAGAAAAAAAATTATGATTTTATAAAAATCCAAATCTATAAGGTTAGTAGATATCTAATATAAATTTCAAATTGTAGAGGATCATTATATGAATTTTCTTAGTTTTAAGTCCTCTTCTAGAATTCACTGAAAGTTTCAGATTCCTCTCTATGATACTATTGGAGATATGAGCGCCAAGCGTTAAATATCTCCAAGCAATTCAATTCAAAAACATTATATCTACCTCTACTTTTAGACTTTTTCCGCACCAACCAGAAGTGTATCATTGCAATGCCTAAACACAGCCTCAGATCCGTTCCTGACTCAGAAAATCGATCTTATAGCGGAACTGAAAATGTCCAGAGATTTAACAGGAGTGAAAAAACTAAAAGTGGAAAAAGCCAAAACCGAACAGACATTGGAACGCGAAGTAATTTCGGAGATCAAAAAACAATTTACAGCTAATAATTTTGTAGAAAAGGCAATCTAACATCCACCATAAGTTGACACTGGTTTATATAGTAATTATTTTTTTAGATACCTGATAAAGACAATACAGGCAACTTGATTCCGGCTTGGAAAAGACAAATGTTGGCCAAAAAGGCAGCTGAAAAAGCGAAAAAAGAAATGGAAGAACAACTACACAAGGAAGCTGAAGAAAAGCGCCTTCAATCTATACCACAATGGAAAAGACAATTATTAATGAAAAAGGAAGAAGCTGAAATCAAAATAAGGTAAAAAATATAACTAATCACTTTTACAAAAATACTCTAAAACTTATTAATTCTAGACAAACCATTTATACGCCGAAAGTAGTAGACGAACCCAAAGTAAAAATGCACGAAATAAGACAACAAATGCCAAATAATGAAGAGAAAAGACACGATTTAAATAACAACCATACAAAAGAGTATGAAGAAGACAACAATATGTCCATGAGTACTAATTCTTTGGACGAGGAGCCTTCTGACGAGGAACCCAACATTATTCCTTGGAGGGCGCAATTGAGAAAAACCAATAGTTCTTTGAATCTTCTTTGTTAATTTCTATCTATATAAAGTATATTTCTTTTTAGTCATTTGTTGTGATTTGTTATTTTGCTTTATTTAGTAAGTTATTAATTATTGTAGTTTGTTTATCATTATATATGTGCAATTTTCAATTATTACGTTATTTAACTTCAAATTTTGTTTTATCCGTGTTTTTTTTTCTATTTGTTTTTTGTTCTATTTTATTTTTTATTAATAAATATACTTTTTATAGGATATTTGCATATTTGTAACTATTTAATTTAGTTATGTAAATATCACATTATTATTATGTTTTACCAACAATAAAGTTTATTTAGTATAATAATTATTCTTTTAATAACAACATTAGGTTTATTACACAACTAAATCTATAGAGCAAATATTAAACTACATATAATAATTAAAATAAATCACAAATGTACACTTATATAAACTTAATAATAAATGGATTTAATGAATATAACTTAAAAAAATATATATATTAAAATAATAAGCAGTAAAATGCATTCAAAAAATTTGTTAAATTGTATTAAATACAGAAACTGAGAAATTAACATACAACTACACTGTACATACAAAAAAATGTGAATTAAGTAAAACACATATTCACTATAAACTAATAGTGTTAATCATTATTATCGTCCTAAATCTACATGACATAAAAATCACACACTGAATACTAATCTTTGGATTATAAAGACTCATTTCAATTGCACTGGAGCCAAAATGAAATTAATTACCAAAAGTGCTGCTTCCAAATTAGCAAATTCATCATCAACAAAGGCAATGAGAAGTAGATTTTGTCAGCAGAGCTCAGACCTTCGCAGTAAGCTTCCACATTGCAATCTTCAACCAACTGCAAAAAGTTTTGCTCAACAGTAGCCCAATCGCATAAGCCCACCGAACAACCCAGAAATTCTTCAATCGGTACTTCGTTGAGGAAAAACATTACTTTGAATCTGTTACCTTGTTGATTACTATTCTGACATCTAAAACAAACATTGAAAACTTGTAAAAATTGCTCAAAAGTAACTCACTCATAAAGTACTGCAGCTAAATTAGCGGCAAAAGGGCTAATCAAAGACGTTCTCCACATCCTTTTTTGTTGCCTGTTGTAATTGTCAGCAGTCAAAGGATATGAATCTTTGTTGATTCCCAAAGTTGAAAATACAGCTTGCATTGTGCCAGAGTGAGTGAATAAGGCTGAAACCTTATTTCCATCGGGATAGCCATGGACGGTTTGTTCAAATTTCCTGTACATATCCTGGATAGGTCCACATCCAAGGTTTTTAACCAAATCATTACCATAGCCTGTATTGTAGTAGTCTTTTAAGTCTTCTCCGTATTCGAGGAACTTCAGTTGGTCTTTTGTGAAAGCTACACACCATGGAGAAGGTTGGTCTACTTGCCTGAATAATAAAGAAATATTAATTTGGGTGGTTTGTAAGGGGTGTATAATATTACCAAGCCTTATTATAGCGACACATATCATAAATGTCTTGTATTAAGGATTCATTTAAATTATAGCGGAAACCTAGTCTCATGAAAACTTGTCTGGCCATGTTGCGATATTCTTCGGATGTTTGGAATTTTCGATGTTCTTCTTGAAGTTCAGTGTTGTTTTCTACTTTTTCTTGCCATTCTTTACAATTTCTTGGATCCTACAAAAAATAATTAACTTTGAAGATTGGTTTCTTTTATTCGGCCTTGACTCACTTTGAGTTGCACATTGCTTCCATAAGTGTTTGCGTGGACTCTATAGAATTCTTGATCAAATAAGCCTTCGATATAGGCTTGATAGCTGTCGTGGGCTTGGTCACTCATATCGTATTGAAACTAAAATAAGAAGGTTTATTTACCTCTATCTAATATTTTTTGTACCTACTTACATAGTAAATTTGATCGTTGTAAGGCTGATTAAATAAATGAGGAAACTTGGTTCTATATTTCCTGGCCAAAAGTTTCAGTTCGTTGATTCCTTGTTGGGTCAAAGACGAAGCGCGTTCTTCTGTAATTGAATCGTTCCATCTCCATCTAAAACATTTAAATTGTGAACCAAATAATAAACTATTTTGCTTTTTTTACCTTCTCAATAAATTATAATCATCAAAGCAAAGTTTTCCAGTATCTGGATACGATTTTCTCTCTTCATAATTCCTCACTATTTCATCTTTGAGCTCTTGCAGCCTGCGTAATCTTTGAATTTCATCAGCTTCCGGCAGTCTAGTTCCTTGGCGGTTGAGAGACCAAAATTGAATCGGCTTACAACCTAAATAATTCACTAATAACAGGCTATGAGATTTGTATTAAAACAAACCTGGCACAATGTGTTGTTGTCCGCCTCTTCTAGTTAAACTGTCATAGGAAGTTTTCGATGCAAAATAGATGTATGGTTCCTCATCTTGTCTGTAACAATAGTCTTCCAGTTGAGTGGTACGAGGGTAAAAGCTGCCATATTGACCACCGCTTCCCACATTTATTTGGGCAGATGTTAATGATGTTACAATCAAGGTGATAAATATTCTGAAGTTGATCTAGAAAACAAAAAAACCTTAAGTTATGGAGCTTGGATGAACAGGGAGATATCTTTGTCCAATATTTTTTCGCTGATATTGGGTAATAAGTTTAAATTCATAGAAATGTTAGTCAACAACACAAAACTGTGAATTACGCAGGCACACTTGAGGCACAAAAGTTAAATTTTACGTAATCGTTTCGCGCTTCGTTAGTGCTTCAATCCCCAAGATAGCAACCCTTGTATTTTCGGAGATATTTCGGTTTTTGGAAATTGCCTGCCCAATTACTTCACACCAAGCAGGAATAAGGAAAGCACTAACGTTCAGTTGCCGATTAATGGTTAGTAGGTAATTCGTTAGTGCTTCAATGTGATTCAATCCCAAATTTAACAACGCTTGAATTTTTTGGTTTTTAGAAATCACCTGCTAAGTTCACACATAGCGGGAACAGGAAGTACTGCAACATCTAGTTGTAGATAGATGGTTAGTGCTTCGTTAGTGCTTCAATGTACTTCGATCCGCAAATAAGCAACCCTTATATTTTCAGAGAGTTTTAAGTTTTTATAAATCGCCTGCTCACTTCACACCCGGCAGGAACAAGGAAAACACAAGGTTCAATTACAGATAAATGCGGTTGGTGCTTCGCTAGTGCTTCAATGTGCTTCAATCCCCAAATTAGCAACCCTTAAAATACTTCGGATTTTAGAAATTGACTGCGTGATTACTTCACACCCAGAGGAACAAGGGAAGCACAAACGTTCAGTTACAGATGAATGGTTAGTGCTTCAATTTTTAAATAAGCAAGCCCTATATTTTCAGAAATCGCGTGCTTACCTCACGCTCAGCAAGAGCATGGAAAGCACCAATGTTCAGTTGTAGATGAATGGTTAATGCTTCGTTAGTGCTTCACGATGCACCACCTCATCAGCTTTTAACAACTCTTATACCTCCCAAGATATTTCGACTTTTTGCAATCGCTTGCGGATTTCACAAGCGCGTGAAGCGCGCTCTGTTTTTTAAATTCAATAATACCATACAAAGACTAGCGCGCATTACGTGGACAGGTTAGTTTGGGCTAGTTTGCATATTTCTAGTTAGATTCGTTACAGCGATTTTCGAAACCATTCGTATGCGAAAATATTCGAAAATAGGATCTCATAGGGCCGAGAACCAAGAATATGAACAGCATACATAAACTCTGGTCTGAATTACTTATAAATATGATTAGTAGGTTCTAATTGCTTCCTAATGCTAAGGCCGGTTTACTTATCTTCCGATAAAAGTACTGGTAACTATCTACATGACAAATTTGCCAATCGATAATCCTATTGGTCGACGTATAACTGGATTAAAGATTGCGTTTTTCATCCGTCAGATAGGTAATATACTTGATGGTTTATCAGTATGTGAATAAACCGGGCCTTAGTTTCTCTTTTGACCATCCGTTATACTCATCTTTTCACAAATGTTATAGATCAGTACTAGTATGTCTTCACTCTCTTTTCTATCTTCTCCAATTTGATGATTAACCAAAATTTTCCTTTGTCGTATATCTTCAACATATCAAATTCCAAGACAAATGACGTACCTTTCTGCTCTTTGAAATAGTGATATTCAGGAGAAAGTCGTTTATTATTTTCAAGAATCAATGTGTACCTAACTATCAATAAAACAGTCATAGTCACGTTGCAGATATTCGGACTACAATTAGGTATATGGTAGAGCTGTTTGACAAAGTAGTTTTCTTGAAGATCGTTGTTCTGTAGAGTAGTTCAGCTCTCAACTGATTAATTTTAGGGATTGCTTCATATTTCAAAAATTCCTTAAGGAATTAAGGAAAAAAAAGGTGGCTCACTTTGAGCAGTAATGAATTGTTGAACGCCATCACTCGAATCGCAGATAGCACTTGAGAAGCATTGAACTAGTGTAACGAAGGAACATATGTTTTGAATCTGAACTTTTTCTCCATCTATATTCTACACTTTGGCTCTTTGGTGGGTGCTTCTAATATTCCTGCTATGTGTGAACTAAGTAAGCAATTTCAAAAATCCGAAATATCTCTGAAAATTTAAGGGTTGCTAATTTAGGGAATGAAGCACTAACCATTTATGTATGGGCCGGTTTCTCAATAGCGAGTCACCCACGGGTTGGTTTTAACTCTAGGGTTAACGTGTGAAATTATAATATTTACCCTGATGAAGTAAGCTTAACCCGGAGGTGACTTGCTATTGAGAAACCGGCTCTATCTGTAACTGAACGTTAGTGCTTCTCTTGTTTCTGCTGGGTGTGAAGTAAGCATGTAACAAGCCGAAATTGCACAACTAATTCTTACTTACTTCCAGTTTTCCATTCAAAATTCCTTTAAATTTGTTAACATTTTCTCTCTATAAATTTTCAACAACAATCAGAACGGTTGCGGATCCTGTACATGCCAGACACCCTTCGAGTTACCATGATCGTCAAAAGTTACAGGACGCCGACAAAGATTGTACCTATTAGCATTCTGGGTTCTTGCGGATTTAATCTTGCTTTTGATTTGCTTGTACAATTTTACAAAACCTACCTGTCGAGTTTTCAGATGAGTATCCAAATTGGGTGAAGTATGTGGAAGTTTGATGGAAAGGTCGTTGCCATACAAATGATATTCTCTCCCAAACAAAACAAAATATGGACTATACCCAGTAACTTCGCTCGGTGAGGTACGAAGAGCGCAACCAGTAGCCAGGACTAATCTGGTTAATTGTACCTACTGCTACTGCCTGGAACATTTTGGTATCGTACTAGCTTTAATTAACCTATCTATATTTTAATATTTATTTACATTCTGTCCCTATTTTGTACGCCACAGTGATCACTACGGTATTTCAGGGAGTAATTCAGTGCTTGTCCCAATGTGGCAAATGAATTATTAATATAGGTAGGTAATTTAGCTAGGCAATTTTGGCCTGTTACAAGCAGAGCCGATTTCAAAAAATCGATATATCTCCGAAAATATAAGGGTTGCTAATTTGGGGATTGGAGCACGTTGAAGCACTAACGAATCACTAACCTTTTATCTGTAACTGAACGTTGATGCTTCCCTTATTTCAAAAATCCGAAATATCTCCTTAAATACAAGGGTTACTAATTTGGGGATTGAAGCACATTGAAGCACCAATGAAGCGCTAAACGATTACGTAAAATTTAACTTCAAGTGCTCCTGCCTACTTCACAGTGCCCAATAATATCAGACTTGAAAGTTTCCAAAACTAAAATATTTATTCTCAATTGAAACAGGGGTGAATACTTATTTGTGGAGGAAAATCTATATGAATATTTCTGTTGGTTTATATCCAAAAAATACCAATATTTAAAGAGTAACGGTGACATATTGGTGCTAAGACTGAAAAGGAAACCAAACAAACGACGTGATTTGAAACGTATTCTGATATAACTGGAGGTTTGTTTGGATGGGTTTACATCAAAATTTCCAAAACAATGATTAATAAATAGTCGCCGAACTATTTCTTCAGATATTTTGGTTTGTTTCTTGTTTTATTTGTATGAAAGGCGACTCAAGGATAGAGATAATGAGTGAAGTAATTTTGGGTTAGTTTCAGTTGCTTTCAATGAGACAAATATCAATAACTATAAGAATCTTAGAAAAAAATCTTTGTCTCAAGAGTACCAAGTAAACCTACTCAAATTATCTCACTTAAGTACCACCTCTGCTCGTAGTCATAGTTCGTAAACCTTTAGTAAACACACAACGTATTTTGTGAGTGCACGCAGTATAGAAAATTGTGTCACCGTTGGTCGTTGATTTTAGGAATAAAATTTCCAACCAGTTTTCCACTGGTTTTGGTTTCGGCGGGTTTGTCAAGCTCAATTAGTTACTCAAGTACCTACTATTTAAAGGTAAGTTATTGTTTTTGTGAATAATTTCTATAAATATTTGAAGATGTATTTTTAAAAATAGTTTTTATAGGCTGACTGTGTGTATGGTGTAGGAGGATGAGCAACTATTTAATTTCAAATAGAAATTTAATTTTCTTTAAATTTAATGTCTTATATACGTACCTACTTCTTTAAGAGCCAGCCGTGATTTTTCTAATTAATATCTAATTATTGATTTCTGATAAGCAAAACACACTTTTAAAATGATCTAATCGTGCTATTACAGAAGAAATTATGTATTAATTTTATCTTATCATTATGGTTTTATGACTGACATATTCTCATATATAAAGTAAATAGGTGAACTCTATTTTTAGATATTTCATAAGGTTAATATTCAAAGTAGATTTAAGACCAATTAGGTAAACCTAAACAAACTATAAATACTTATTATATATGACAATAGAAATAACTCCAGGGGAAATGTAGGTATGTAAATTACTTTTATATGCATATGAGGATGGATGTCTATAGGTAAACCTCACCCATTGCTTTAAAAAACTTTTGAAGACTTTTTAGTATGTACCTACTTGCTGTTAATCACACCGATGACAACATCTCGATTTTTTTCTTTAAAAACTGAGGTGAATAATTAAGTTGGTTCCAAATTACTTATATTTAATTACATTATTGTGCATTACGCATCAAGCGAGTTCATCATCGATAAAAACAATTTATTGAATCACCATTACCCATTGAATTATGACAACATTTTGTTCTTTTTTTTTAGATGGCCAATGTAGTATTCTCAATAATCTGGCTCCTTATTCTCATATTCATTTCCTTCTTCGTTGCTGGATTTTGTGCAGGATTCTACATTCTTATCTTTGCGCTTACAGTCTGTTTACCGCCTTTATCGGTAAGTATCACATTACAAGATAAATATCAATATGTAAGTATGTTAATTTTGTATTTTAGGGTCTATCAGATATACTGTTACAAGGCGTCCAGTTTCCGCATTATTGCGCTGACAAAATGATGACTGGAGGATCCATTCCATAAATTTTTTTCTTGTGACTGATTTACTAATAAAATTTTTATAATAATTATTAATTTATTAAAAAAAATAATAAAATGTGTTCATTAAATTGTAAATAAATAAATAAATTGTTAAAATAATTAATATTTATTTTTTTGGTTAAATTTGTTGTTGCAATAATAATAGTATTATTAAACTAATAAATAATTATTTCAATTTATTATTATGGTTTTATTTGGATAAGAATTATTACTATAGAATCTTATGACGAGAAGTTCTTTGTACGATTTGAAAATTGGTAACTGAAATGATTTTACAAAAACGACTTGCAAAATAAAATAGTATTGAAATGGGTTCTTACGCCAGAGAAAAAGAAGCAAAAGGAAAACAACCTCTGGATCTGTCTGGATTGCGAAAAGAAGTAGAATCATATGATGATCTGCTATTGACTGGACTGGTTTAGGTATATTTAACTAAGTTTGAATGATTTCCTCATTTTCATCCAATACTTGTTCTCGACTATTCGGTGATAAATGCTTGTTTGAAACAGATATTTCTTTCCCATTTTTCAGTCTGACAAACGAATAATGCGGATTTGTTTCTATCAGCTCAACTTCCTCAACTATAGGGTCATATTTGCTTGTGCAAATAATATGCTTCTTCATCAAAATTTTTCCCGGAGAAGCCAGCCAAGAAGGCAATGAGTCGCCTGTAGTAGATTTTCTATTATGATGAAACATTCTTTCATGTGGAGTGACATTTGTTGCTGTACCAAGGAGAGATCTGATGCAATGTAATGATTCATCCAGAACAGATTCCCATTCTGGACACATTCAAGTTTTACGATTTCAGCGCTAATTGAACTGTTCTCCAAATCGTACCATTCTCTCTCTCTATTTGCCCATTTCCTTCTGGATTGTAACTGGTAGTTCTACTGGTAGCTATTCCTCGTTCTTGCAAAAAGATCTTCAATTCTGAAGACATGAAAGCAGATCCACGATCTGAATGTATGAAATTTGGCATTCCAAATAGTTGGAAAATACCTGTCAAGTGCTTCTTAACGGAAGCTGCGTGACAACAGCTTTTGAAATATCTTCTTTCAGAGCTTTGTAAGTCGATAGAGCTTCTTAATTGTGACATATGAAATGATGTTTGTACGAGTGGTCTGATGATTTTATCCGAAAATCTTGGAATCCATTTCGCATAATGGGAAAACATTCCCAATACTCGTTTTAATATAGAATAATCTCCTGGTGGAGGCAATTCTAAGAATGTACGAAGTCGATCAGGATCAGGTTTGATTTGTTGATTTTCAATTTCATATCCTAGGATTTATTTTTCCGTACTTTGATTTAGTAGAGTTCATAGTAAGTTTACCCTTTTCAGCAACTTTGAAGAATTTTTCAAGATTTTTGTCATGCTCTTCTTGAGTCTTACCACCTACTACATATTATCAAGATAGGCATACCTATGTGCCTTGAAGATTTTTTTTCTTGATTATACTCAACAACTCTTTGAAAACTAGCAACTCCATTGGTAACACCAAAAGGAATTCTCGTGAATTGATATAGTTCGCTGCACGCCTCAAACGCTGTATAAGGTTTTTCATGTGCGAGAATTGGAATTTGGTGATATGCACTCTTTAGATCTACAGCGCTGAAAACTTGGTACCTTGACACTTTTGAAATAATGTCTTCTATGTTTGGAAGTGGATATGCGTCTAGTTCAGTGAATTTGTTTATAGTCTGGGCATAGTTGATTACCATTCGTCTCATGATTTGCACTGGAAGTGACTAAAGCTTGAGCTCTCCAAGGCGAATTACTCTTTCCAATGATACCTTCAGAAAGCATTATCCTAACTTCTTGTTCGATAAATTTCAGGTCTTCTAGTGATTGTTTCTTAGATTTAATAGCTATAGGTCCGCAAGTGTTATTGAGATTTGTGAATAGAGATGCAGGAGTAATATCTGCTTGCATCAAAACGCATACTTTCAAAATATCCAGATTTCCATTAAATGACATCTCAAGTTTAGAATGATGATATAGAAAATCGTGTCCCAATATAATATCTGAGCAAAATTTTTCATAACCAGTGATGTCAAGTTTTCATATGTACGGGTATTTGTTTCTAGTGACACAGTACAACTTCCTTCAACTTGAGAGGCGTATGATATTGACGCCATATATTCACTTGTTGCTGAGAAGGAATTTGTGGAATCTTAAGTTGCTCAAGAAGAGAAGCGTTTATGAAACTTGATGTACTTCCTGAGTCAATAAGAGCTTTAACTGGTTGTTCACAAATTTTTGCATCAATTGTAGCTTTTCCAAGTCCTTTTCCAAGTTGCAGTAACGATGTAAGCTGACGTTGTCCTAGAGTCATGCTTTTTACTGTTACAAACTCTGGCGAAATGTCCTTTCTTTGAACATTTTTGACAAGTAGCATCTGAAGCTGAACAAAGATATCTAGGATGAAGTGATCCTCCACAAAACCAACATTTCGCTAGATTCTTGGTAGAAGTAGCTAAGAATTGATTCGAATATGATCTGACTTAGAATTTGAAGTATAATCAATTGAAGTTGCATTGATAGAATTTTGTATGAAGCTTTGTGAGTGAATTTCAGCCATTTCTAAAGATTGAGCTTGATTATGAGCCTCATTGAGACTAAGGGTTGTATTTTCCAGCAATCAAGTGCGTATAGAGGAGTTGTTTAGGACTTTTATAAAAGCATCCCTGATGTAGCTTGAAAATTACATTCAGTACCTACCTAGCTAAAAGATTTAAGGATTGTAGATATTGGTCTATAGATTCGGAAGCTTGTTGTTGGCGGGTCGATAATATATGTCTAGCATAAACATTATCATTTTTAGGTTTGATGTAAGCTTTCTCTAGTATGGCTATAGTATAGTGGAAGCATATGTTGAACATTCACTCACCAATGCATACACATTAAGAGCTATAGGATTTATCAGAAGTTGTAGTTTAATTTCATCTCTGAGATCTTCAGTTTTAGGCTTGTTGGCATCAAGAAAATTTTCGACTGGTAACAATGATATACTGTTGAATATAAAATACGAATCATTTTCACAAAAACCGGTTATCTTAATGATGATGAACTGTTGAAAACTTCGCAATCTCAATCAAAGTTGAAAAACAACTATTGTATTTAAACCACCCTATACATTGTATTAGGTATATGGAGACAAATCTCAACAACTCAAACATTCATTATTGTTGCAATGATTCAGTCGTCCATGTGCAGTCGACAGCAGATTACAACAAACTTATTATTTAACGACAATTTATGTGCGTGATAGCTTTTAAAAACAAATAAATTTTGTTGTTTATAATAATAATGTTAATCTTGTGGTAAAATATGTTTTGGACACATCGAGTTTGCGGATTCAATTAGATTGTGGTATAAAAATAGGTTGGTGTGTAGATAATATATTTTTGTTAAATTTGTATAATGATATATTCCTATTTTTTTTTTGTAGATATAAACAATGGCTAAGGTTATTACTTTCCTAGTATGGCTGATTATACTCATTTTTATATCGTTCGCTGTAGCATCGTTTTGTGCGGGTTTTTACATTCTATTACTTCCGCTTACAGTTTGTATAAAAGGGCTCAAGGTATGACGATTTCTCTGTGAATTACCTACTTAATTAATTTGTGCAAATATTTAATTTTAGGAATTGACTGATTTACTGTTGAAAGGATTACAGTTTCCTCATTACTGTGCTACACAAATGATGTCTAAAGGAAGTCAAAGTGGATATCTCAATATTTAGTTTTATAGTTTTTATATAAATGATATGATAAATCAACATCACTTGTTTGATTCTCCCATGATAAAATTACAAATGGTTTATAATAATATGTTATATTCTGTATAGAATTTACATTAGGTAGGTTGTTATTTTTGAACTATGTGGCCAAATTTGTTATTAAAGTAAGACTGCGATTTTCGTTGTCCACAAAACTGTATTGTATCTTATTTTTTTAAAAAGTTAAATGAAGTGCTTCTGAGTTCATCTGGAGAAATCCAACCTTTTGAAAACATTGGAAGAGATATTTGGTAAAGCACCAAAAGCGTTATTTTGTCACGTTTCTTAAGCTAGAAGAGCAAAGTCAGCAGAATCGAAAATCAATACATGGAACATTAAAGGCTCATTAAAGGCTAATTAAATGCCCTAATGAGAAATTTTGGTCTCCTTGAATTTTCGCAAAAATTACTGTTCTGCTAGCTTTAACTCAATTCACCAGAACATGAGCGAAAAGTGGCAAAACCAACGAAAACTGCAATTCCACTCGCATAGACATTGAAGGCTTATTAAAGGCTCTGAAAATACACCAATGCAAAAAGCGCGATGCGTGAGTGATGTCGGCCAAGTATGGCAGAAAAACCCTTCAGACAGTGAAAATCTGTGTTCCAATAGTGCAGTCGTAGTGAATATATTAAAGGCTAATTAAATGCTGTAATGAGAAATTTTAGGCTCCGCCAATTTTCGCGAGAATGGCTATTCGGCTGACTTCAACCTAAGCCAGCAGTACATGAGCGAAAAAGTGACCAAAACAACGAAATTCGCAATTCCACTTGCACAAACATCAAAGGCTCATTAAAGGCTCCAGAAATGCACCAATCGCAAATTTCAGGCTCAGTACATTCTTGATTTAATGAGTTTGGAAAAGTCTCATTAGAATTGCAAAGTATCCAAACTAACCCACGTTATTATTGGTAAGTTTGGAAATGTCTGAAATTCGCGATTAGTGTATTTCCGGAGCCTTTAATGAGCCTTAAATGTCTGTGCAAGTGGAATTGCAATTTCTGTCGTTTTGGCCACTTTTTTGCTCAGGTTTTGCTAGCTTAGGTTGAAGCTAGCAGAATAGCCATTTTCGCGAAAATTGGCGGAGCCTAAAATTTCTCATTAGAGCATTTAATTAGCTTTTGATTTATTCACAACGACTGCATTATCGGATCACTGATTTTCACTGTCAGACAGGTTTTTCCGCCATGCTCGGCCGACATTACTCACATATTGCGACTTTTCGCATTTTTACAAAAAAGTAATTGAGCCTGAAATTTGCGATTGGTGTATTTCCAGAGCCTTTAATAAGCCTTTAATGTCGGTGCAAGTGGAATTGAAATTTTCGTTTTTTTAGCCACTTTTTCGCCCATGTTCTGCTGGCTTAGGTTGAAGCTAGCAGAATAGCCATTTTAGCGAATATTGGCAAAGCCTAAAATTTCCCATTACAGCATTTAATTAGCCTTTAATGTATTCACTACGACTGCACTATTGGAACACAGGTTTTCACCGTCTGAGAGGTTCTTCTGCCATGCTTGGCCGATATCATTCTCAAATCGCGCTTTTTGCATTTTGACAAAAAAAAGTAAATGAGCCTGAAATTTGGGATTGGTGTATTTTCAGAGCCTTTTATAAGCCTTTAATGTTTATGCAAGTGGAATTGAAGTTTTCGTTGTTTTAGCCACTTTCCGCTCATGTTCTGCTGGCTTAAGTTAAAGCTAGCAGAACAGTCATTTTCGCGAAAATTCAAGAAGCCTAAAATTTCTCATTAGGGCATTTAATTAGCCTTTAATGGGCCTTTAATGTTCCATGTATTGATTTTCGATTCTGCTGACTTTGCTCTTCCCTCTTAAGAGACATTGTTTTGTCTTTTATTCGCACCATATCAATTAGCTAAATCTGGTATTCAAACAAATAAAACAATACTTATTTTTGTTTTTAACAGGAGTAAACAACAATCAATTATTATTATTGTCTTCGATATTGAATGTAGGTGTGCCACCATAAAACGACCTCGGTTTTCATCATAATGCGCTTCATAATACCTAGGTATTTTTGTAAACAATTATTCTATGAAATCTTCTAATTGATTGACAATAAATGTAAGAAAAGGAAATTCTACTTGAAGGTTGAAGGTCGGTCGTAGTTGAAAGAAAATCGAACAAATCGGAAGCCAAAGTAACGAATCCACAATAAAAACAAAAATTTATTATTTATGATCAGTCGAACTTGATGGTATTGCGTGTGCGTTACAAATTTAACCCTCAAATATCAACTTCCCATCGGAACAATACCTATAGTGCCCTTGGCTTTTAGGAATCCTGATGAGCCATTTCACTTTGTCAATCAAAATCTTCCAAACGAAATGCGAGTTTGTAAAAGGTCGGGACCTTAAGAGAAGAATGTCGATTTTAATTAGAAATTTATCACGATTTTTGTGTGAGAATTTAACTTAAAATTGCTTTAATGAAAACTATACAGGGTGTAAAAAAATAGTGTATCGAACTTCGAGAGGTGATACTACACATGAAAATTAAAAAAAAAGTACTTATGAACATATGCCCTAAGCTGCTCCTTGAAGAAGTTACGTTCAACTTTAGATGAAAATAATAGATTTTATTTATTTTCAAGAAAAGTGGCAAACTATTTTCCTTGAAATTTGGTATACATTTTGATGCCAAAGCAAATATGGTCATAAGTAAAAATAACCGTACCATCAGTTCTGAAAAGGTAGTTTCCATAAGGGTAGAGGCGCGGTAATAAGTGGTAGTTACTCGCAAAACAAAAAAACATCTTAGGGCATATAGGAACTTTTTTTTCTTATTTTCATATGTAGTATCACCCTTTGAAGACTGGTACACTATTTTTTTTACACCCTGTATATTATAGCAGTTTAATTGGAAGGATGACACCTTATTCTTGCCAGGATGAAGATTAGGTATAAGATAAAATACAAAATTAAATGAATAATTAATCATCATTTAAAGCAGTCATATGAAAAAAAATCGTTATTTAACACACACTCTCTAATAATCACATCACAATATAATAATAATTACTGTCATTATTAGGTAGGTACTTGCAACTAAAAGCGGAATTTCCTGAATATGTTTTAGCATTTTAGCGCGCAAAATATTAATCTTTTATGGACAATTAACTTTTTTCCCCAATTTTGAAGTCCGTCCTTGATTTTTACCAACGTTATTATGTTTTTACAACAAAATCATTGTTATTACATATATTGAGTAAAGTAAATAACTTCCTGATTAAAATAAAATTGAATCTATATATACATAAGTTATGTAAAACACGCATTTTTTTCAAGGTAATATATTATTTTTATGAAATTTTGGCAACCTACACAAAATTTTCATTTAAGGAAAAATTCTTGAAATAGTTCCTCAAGTTAAAATAAACCTGTTAACTATCACTTTGCACCTGCTTGTATTGTATATACAATTAATATGGGTAAAATTAACACATTTCCAAAGTTACAAATACCCTATTGATAATGCATAACTTACCATGCTGGTAATTATTGTTAAAAAGTCCGTTGAAAAACGATAAATTCGAATTACGCGTTTCTATAAACCGGTAAACAATAATCGAAACAAGATACAAAATAGCTGCGCGTTGTCCTGCTAACTTGATGGTCAACAGCAAACAGCGCCAACAACTTCTTATGGCAGCGAATACCTCAACCCATTAGAGAGTTTTCGAATATTTACCATATTTGTCCATATAGGATTATGGGTCCACTTTGATATTGCAGAGAATGTATTCAATAAGGTTTATGCTGAATAATTCACAATGATTGATGATCACTGATCAATTTGTGTAAAATACCTAGTGTTTTAGATTGTTTTTCTATTTATGGTATTTCATAGAGTTTAAGCTAAGAGGATAAAACTTCAGATAATAGACTCATGTTATGAGTTTTTGAACTGGATATTATCATTAATCAACCAGTTTAAAATAGCGTGAGCTCGCTCCCCCACATTCTAGATCCCTGGAATATTCGAAGAATATCTTGACTTCATCATAGGTCAATTTCCCCCTTCAAGATCTATTTAGGTTTATAAAGTTCTCGAGGCAAAAACTCTTTATTAATTCACCTACCTGCCCTGCTTATATTATGTTGATTGGTATTTTTTCTAGCCAAGCGTTTGATGATCAGGGGGCTTAACCTTTTTCACAGTTTGGTGGCTATTGTTATGAGAAAAAGTCATTCAACATTATAGTACTACTCTTCATCCGTTCATTGTAGGTAAAACGACCAATTATACCTACTACATCAAACGAATCAGATTAAAAAGAGATTCATTGTCAGCAATAATCTACTAACAATTCATTAATGTATTAAAAAGTACTTAATTGTTATAGTATCTACTTAAATGCATTTTCAAATATAGAAACAAAATTAATTGTCCCACTTAGAAATTCTCCATAATGGTTGGTGCTTACAAAACTTTCAATTAAGTATACCAAATTATGGTTTGTTGACACCGTTTAACCATAAATAATTCAAATAATAATCCTCCTGGGATTACATTACACAAATTACCATATTTCATGATGCCTTTTAGGGGCGCGTCCATACAGGAAACGAAAGATAGTGGGCTATAATTTCGGTAAATCGATCGTAAATCATTTTTTTGACAAGATTTCCTAGGAAGCTAATTTGATAAAACAACGGAAAAAAAAGGGTCAATGTAATTAAGGTATTGATTTGATCCAATTCGTTGGAAAAAAAAATCACTTCTTTATAAAATAAATCACCAACATCTAACAGATAAAAATATAAAATATATTTCAATAAAATGTTTAAACTTGAACTAATTACTAATTTTAAAAGAAGCTGAAGATTTAACAACTAGAATAAAAGGTCCCTCGTGTCCTGGCGCAAAAGTGGACGGTATAATTTCTAAAGTTCCTGCAGGAATGTTGGTTAGTTCCAAGACAACATATCCTGACCTGAAAAAATCAAATAACCAATAATTCAATTATTGTTATAATTAGGTTCTTGCCTGTAAGGTCCAGAAGATTTCGATCTAAAAGGTGCAGTGATGCTTTCATCGTTTAACTGTTTTATTATAACTTCCAAACCCATTTGGTATTGTTTGGGACCTTTGAGTTCCAATAGAATTTGATTATTCTCAGCAATACCTTCTATAGTAAGTCTAAATTTTGGGTTATTATGGTAAGTTGTAGGATAATTTGGACAACCACCAGCTGTAATACCTTTCCATTCACCAGTAACCTAAAGTTAAGCATTGAAAAATCTCAATTTTTATTAAAACGTGTTGGTTCCTACTTGTTTTTCATCAATATAAGGATCTTTAATTTCGCTCAACTTGAAAGGACAAGTAGCGTAAGCCCTCAGAGTGTAATAAATCGTCGTGCTTTTTTCGTATTGCGACACTACAATTGTGTAATCCCTGCCACTATTAGGACCCAAAATAATTTTGCACAAATAATGAGGGCTGTTGATTTTCACACCATCTATGTAAGGAGGAGGATCGTCTAAAAACAAACCCTTAATAACCCAAAACCATATCAAAGTTGGCCTTCTTACACGGATAATAAACTTTTTGGCCATTTTTATAAACAAAAACCGTGATAAATTCTTTATTGTTTCTGAAATCTTCAATATCAGTGATATGTCTGCTAAGCAAAATCCAAACTGCTCCAGATGCTTCAGGGCTGACACTTAACGAAAATTGAGGATTAGCGGCGGCAGTGTAAAGATCTTTTGCTGGACCTGTACCAGCATGCCACATTCTAGAAGAAAAACACTCAAATTTAATTTTATTGTTTGTTATTTTTGTGCTTCAACAGCTAAATATTGTTAATCTCACTCTAAAAGAGGTTCATCCACTAAGAAAACCAAGACACACTTGTATTGTCTGCAAGGGGTTAGTTGTAGTATTAGAAATAACTGACCAAATGTGATTAGATAATTTCAAACTATGAAAACAATAGTTATCAATTTATGAACAACCATTATTTTATGTTTCCTAAATCCCAAGATTGTTCAAAATTTTCCCTTTGCATTTGTAGCTATTCAGCAAATACATCCTCATACAATATCCGAGGGGTAAACCACTAGTGAAAATCATTGTACATTTTTCTGGGAATCACATAGTAATCAATCAGGAATACATAGAAATCACTTGGAAATCCCTGGGAATAACTTGGGAATCACTAGGAATCTCCTAGAACTCCATGGGAATCACATAGGAACCCATTGGCACTCATTGAGAATCATGTGGTAATCCCTGGGAATATCATCTCATTCTAACCCAGAAATCACATATCATACATTTTAAACGATACAACGTACCGGTCCTTTGCTTATTTGCCTTTAAGACTAAGTTTTAGGCAACATTGAGTGCTAGACAATTTGAAATGAATTTGATATCCCAACGAGTTTCCCAATAACTGAACCCGAGACTAGAAAGATTTTAGAATTTGAAGAAGAAGAACAAGATGAAGATTAGGTCTGTTCTCACCTAAATCAAAAACCAGTCAGAGCGTTTTTGATTGGTACAAATCGCCAACAGCCATCTTTCTGGGAATTTTCAACCAATGAAATTCGCTCCGACTGGTTTGTGATTTCTATGAGAACAGACCTAAAGTATGACAATGTTGTAGATCATAGAAATGAAAACATGCATCTTGGAACCTCTCTCGAATCCAACTTGCCAAAAGCAGACATAGAATTTCTTCACACATCCTCCCCCACTAGCTTGATTGAGTTAGTTTAAAGTCGAATTTTGATGAAAACTAACATATTCAAGTATAATATTTATATTATGAAACCCTAACTAAAGTTATCTCTGATTCAGATGAACATCCTAGTGAAATCAAAGAAACATCCATTATTTTAGATCCATATTATGCAGTGTGGACACGTAATGGTATCTAGAGCTCAACAACTATTTATACCTACAACAAAATCGGCGTGGGTGTGGACAACCATGAAAGTTGCTAACTTTTGGAAGAATTGCAAATACAGAAGTTGTCAATTTTTCAGTGGAAACGTGTTTTTATAAGAGAAAATACTATTTTGGACATATGCAAAGCTTAACAATCAGACATCGTTTTCGTAAATAAATCTGCTGGAAATCCGATGATTGTAGGAAATCATCGAGGAAATCAGGTCATGGATTTGAAATGAAATAGGAATCCCCAGAAAAAATGGAAATTATTGTACATTTGTAAGCATAGTGGTTGACCTCTCGACAATATCATTCCATTTCAAACTGGTCATAAGATTTTTCTCTGAGCATGAAAAACATACCATTTGTTGCATGGTTTAGTTTCCTTAGTGAACAAACCAATTAATTTCCTTTATAAGACTATCAAACAACTTACTGATGAATACAATAAGTAAATTTAAACAATTCCGGATTCCAGTTCATGTAAAACACCTCAAAAAACTTTAAAAGGCTTTCATAATCAATCCAAAACACTCCATTATCAAATTCAGCCGCGCTATGAGGATCATAGTCCAATAACCGTTGCAATTCCGGCGTCCAATGTCTAATATCCAATTCCGAATAGTTACCGCGCCAACGTAAATGCGACCAAGGGTTTTTCAATTTCAATAGTTTTTCTCCGTTAACAGTCCTCACGTCCATTACAGCATAAGCATGGGTGGCGACCAGGCCACTTCTTTCAGCCTCTTGGTCAGATAATTCACCTGTGGCTACTGATACCAGAACGTCGCCTTTTGCCATTCTAGTTTCCAGTGTAGTGAATAGACTGTCTTTGTTGAAATCTGCATCGCTTTGTCTTATACCTACACGTTCCGGGATCCAACCAGTTAAAGCATGCAGATCAATATTCTACATAGGTGAAATATTATTGGAAATAAATTGATAGCCCTGGCGTCTTGGATAGCTCCACAAAATAGTTAGAATTTTTTTAAAATGAGACCCATGCTATTCTTATAATAGTCAAATAGGGCAATGTCAATGGGTGGTTTTGATAAACATTGAGTTCTGGATATTAGGTAAAAGTTTCTCATATCACAGGCAATTCTTCTGATTTCGAGCTGGGATTTGAGCATTTTGAGCAAACTTGCCTGTTATATACTTTAAATTTAGACGCCAGTTATTTGGCTTAGTTGATTAAATCAATGATGACCTTTACTTTGGTAATATAACTGATTGAATTAAACGTCATTAGTCAAGATCAAGACCAAATCATGCATCATTGACTTGAGGAAAGGACACAACTTATTTTAGTCTCAATATCGGCCCAAATCCGAATTAACTGATTCTGCACAAGAAACATTCACAAGAAATTTATTACAAGTTGCCATACTGGGAAATCCTTTTCCAAATTCATGTCAATGAGCTGCCAACTTTGAAATGGGTATACCTATGAGTGCCAATTTTTTTTTTGAAATTCTTCTTCTTAAATTTAGGACTTTTATTGTGAAGCTATCCAGTTTCTAAGTATCTATGATAAAGCACTTACACTATTGCTACCAGGAAAATCATAACCGCCCATAACTTTCATGTAAGCCTTTTCCAAAAGAGATATCCAGAATTCGTTTTTATTGCTAGAATATGAACATAAAAGCCTCCCGTGCTTATCAATAGGCAAATGATCGTCAATTATTACTTTCCTAGGGATGCCATTGATATGCAATTTTATCATATATTTTCCTAAATAATAAATAAATAACGATAATGTTATAAATAAATACAACATATTATATACCAAAAGGATTATACAAAGGCCTCCTGTCTTTGGATTGAGGATAAATAATAGCTGTAACTAATTTGCGTCCGAATTTAGCCTCATAATGGGCACTTACAGCCAAACTTGCCACAAAAGAACAATCAGAAATTACTGTTTGTTTGATGTTGAGATAATTCGGGCAAGTTCCCTGAACAATACAAGGATCTTTACAAATTTCTTCCGGCCTAACCATTTTGTAAAACTCCTGTTTTTGTTTCGGAGCTAAAATAAGATGACCATCTTTGTCAGAGAAAGGAATCGAATATTGAAATCTACAAATAATGATAATGTTGCTTTTTTAATTTAAATTTTGAATATGGTGTCACCTTTCATTTAAATCAACACTCATGAATGGTACAAAATCTCGTCCATTTATTTTAGATGTATGCAATAAGACAGCTTTTTCTTTGTCACTATATACATCTTCACCAGTAACCTAGGTATATAAGCAGAAATATAAAACACAAATAAACAAATTATTACATACTTTTAAATGTGCACTAGTTCCTCTATGTAATGTAGGCCTTTGAGCTGAAGCTGTAGGTTTCTGATTAGTAATATTGAAATTATTTGTTGGAGGATTTTTGGGTTGAAATTTTGGTGATCCAGGAGATTCCCGTTTAATTCCTAAATAACAAAATTTGTATTTATAGATTCTAAGCTTAGTAAACCCTACCCTTTAATTCTTCAGCTCTTTCTAAAGCCCTTATTGCAAGAGCTCGTAGATCTCCCTGCATAAGATCAGGATGTTTTGTTACATATTCAACAGCTTTTGCATATAATTCTATAGCATCGTCTTTGTCTCCTTGCTCATCTTCCTCTATGGCTTGTTGCAGTAGAAAATGACATTGTTTGATTATCACTCTTTTCTGATTTTCATTTTCATCCTGAGGGGAGCTGAAATATTGTTTATTTCAAGCAACATAAATTGTAATCAGCTTACTGTTGTGTTTGTTGTCTAACATTTCCCAATAATTCTTCAGCTCTATGTTTATACTCTTCACTTTTGTTTTTTAAGGATTCGCCCTTGTCCTCTGCAACACTAGCAGCAGCCTGATCAAGCCATTGGGCTGCGATTTTGTAATAGTAAGCTGAAGGGTTGGCTTGGCCTTCTTGATCGAATTTTACAGCTAATTTTGCTGCATCGACAGCGTTTTCAATAAGCTGTTCTGGTGTAGACATTTTTGGTTGTTCTTAAGCAAAATGCTCACAGGTTTTGATAATGGTTTATTACTTAATAATCTTATAATTATCATAAATGAATCATGTTTGTTTTTAAGAATGACAGGTGAAATTCTATATAAAATGATAATGAAAATGCTTATTATGCTTGATACTAATTATTGAACTAAGCTAAAAAGATGTTAAAAGGTTCTTAATTCTAGATATTCACTGTGAAAGCAGGAATCACTCTCAAATTTATTTATTTAAACAAAATTTAGAAATGTTTATAAAAACAAAAAAATTGTAGGTTATGTTGAGTTTGAAGTTTGGGATTTAAATGGTGCAATGGGAAGAGTGCAGACAAAGAAAAAAATAAAGTACAGTGAAACAGACAGAGAGAGATATAATCCAAAACTCCTCAACTGTCAAAAGTGGCAAGAATCAAACGTCAGAAATTTAAATCCCTCCTGTCTAATTTGTAAACAAACACATTTAAAAAATTGCACCTCTTGCTTGTTTATTCGATAATTTTAAATTAATTACTATTCGCCTAGTGCTAGGGTTCTAACAAATCCATTAGTTCACACGTCGCTTCACGCTTGCATAATCGATAGTGCAATGGAAACGAAAAAGTCAAGCTTTTGGTGGATGAAAACGCCCCAACAAAAAACATCAGCCCCAGAAGAAAGGGTCGCCAGAAAACCCTCAATTCCCAAACTGGATCTTAAAGGCATACAACCTTCCGCTAGCCTAACTGATATTCTACAAAAAGACACCATAGACTCAGATGTAGATGTAGGCAGTATTATCGAAGAAATAAACAAAGTGGCAGCTCAAAGTCCTTTGGGGCCTTTCGAGAAGAGCATAGGCGAGAGGAGTATCGATGATATCATGAAAGAAGCTGAAAAGATTTATATGGAAAGCTCCAAGAGTTTTGAACAGTTAAGTCAAAGATCAAAAACATCACAAAATATTTCAGATATCTTGAGCAGTAATTCAAAACTGTCTACGCCGACACCTAAAAGTATCAGTCCTTTGCCTTTAGACGGAGCAGACAGCTCAGATTATAGTGAAGATTTTTCTGAAGCTGAATCAGGTAAGTTGATCCAAACATTTTTGTGCTCAATGTTAATGGAATTGTTTTAGAAAAATCCTACAAGAGCTCTTCAAATTTAGAAAAATTATACAAAGCCGTTGAAGATATAGAAAACAGAAAAACTTCTTCAGCTTCATCAGATAACCAAAAATCCTCTAGCCCCACTTCAAAAATTGCAAAATCTATCAGTCTGGCTCAAAACGTCCTAGAATCTCCCATTCAAAGTCCAAAGGAAAGTCCTTATATGAGCACTAAAACTAGTCCTGCTAAGACACCAGATAAACCTTCTACTCCTTTGAGAAAAATGTCAGCAGAAGAACAAGAAGATAATGAAAAAATGTATGATTTAAAACAGGAAATTGAAATCAGGAATAAACTTATCACGACATTGGAGAATGATAATGGAGCTTTGCGGAATGATGTTCAAACCTTGAAGGTATGTATTTTTAGTTTTAATAGAGTGGGATAATCCATATATCATTCAAACTAATTTTTGTTGTGATTTAATAAAAAAAACTATTACATTTATTCCCCTGATGTTTTTACCAGCCTCAACTATTCTTGCCCCACCTTTCTACACCCATTCCATTTCCCAATCTGTCTAGCTAAACCCAGACCTTTTGGACTTGTTCATGGTTCAATAAATTCATGATATTACAAATTCTTATCTATTCAGTGTTCAGTTTCCAATGAAATCCAGTTAAAGTTAATTATCGAGAACAAACAAGGGTAAGGCACGAAGTAGAAATATAGACATCAGATTTGATGATAATATCTTCTGAGAAAATGAAATTGAAATTGCATAGATTTTCAATTGAGGTATCAAGAATTGTCTTAATTGGTAATCCTCTTGGTGAATAAAATAATGGTGGAAATCGAGGGGTGGTTAACTGGTCAAAATCCGTGTAAAAAGCTGGTCAAAATCCCAGATAATCTCATAGGATCTACTCAAAATCTCTAAAAATCTTTGAAATCCTTAAAAATCTCTTGAAATTGCATAAAATCCTACAAAATCTAACAAAATTTCATTAAAACCAAAAAAATCCTGCAAAATCTCATAAAATCACTAACTTTCCTAAAAAATATTTCCTTTGAAATTCCCAAAAATCCTTTGGAATTCCCAAAAATCTGTTAAAAGTCTCTCAGAATTCCATAATTTAGTGAAATTTTGAGGAATTTTGGTAGAATTATGTTATTCTTTAAAAGGAATTACATGTGAAATTTTTGCGGAGTTTCCCTAGAATTCACATTAAATTTTAGTCCCTCTCGAATTACATGAAATTTCAATAAAATTCCGATTGAATTACACGAAATCCTAAATGAATTGCATGGAGGAATTCTAAACAATTACATATATGAAATTACACCGAAATTCCCAACAAGAAATTTCAGTTCTTACTGGATTTTAGTAAAATTCCAGAAAATTCCACAAGTGGAATGCCGAGGAATTTCCGGCTAAAAACATGGAATTTCGGTGATATTCAGAAAAATTCCTATTAATGACAATATATTTCGGTGAATTTTCAAGAAATTACTTACTTGAAGTTTCATTAATATTCCCAGAAATTCCTGGCTATTGAAAGAGAATTTCAGTGAAATTCCGAAAAATTCTAATAAAAATTAATGAAATTTTGAAACATATCTTGAAGTTTCATTGCATTTTCATTAACGTGGAATTTCAAAATATTTTCATAAAATTTTAGTGAATTCCGAGAAATTTTTAAGAAATTACATGGAATGTCAATGAAATTCCGTAGAATTTTATGAGCATTTTGTGGAATTCCAGGATATTTCAGTGGTGGTGGTGAAATTTTCGTGCATTTCAGTAAAGTTGAGAAATCCTATACTGTGATTTCGAAAAAAATTTATCTAAGAATTTCATAAAATTTTCTGGTGAAAGGTTAAGGAATTTCCGAGGGAATTTCTATGGAATTACTTGAAATTAACTAAAATTTTCCGAGAAATTTTTGTGCAAGAATTCCAATAAATTTTATGGTGGAATTCCATGGAATCTTATGATGCAATTTGGAAAAGTATTATGAAATCCTATAGTAAAATTTTTAGGAATTTACGTTTTTCCATTCAAATTTATCACTTGAATGGAATTTCGAGGAACTCCATAAAATCTTCTGGTGAAATTCTAAGGAATTTCTATGGAATTGACTATAATTTACGCGGAATTTTCATGGAATAATTTAAAATTTTAGTGGAATTCCGAAGAATTTGATGAAATCCTATATTGTAATTCCGAAAAAAAAAAGTTCCAACAATACCATTGAATTTTATGGTGTGAAATGGGACATATGAAATTTTTGTGGAATTTCAATAAAATTCACATTAAATTTTAGTTCCTCTTGAACTACTTACATGAAATTTCAGTAGAATTTCGATCGAATTATATGGAGCTCCGATGCAATTACATGGAATTCTAAGGAATTGTCAGGGAATTACATGAAATTTAAGTGAAATTTTGAACAACTCTTACCGTTTCATAAGGAATTCCAATGAAATTCCGAGAAATCCTAATGTAATTACATAAAGTTTTATTTTTATTCCAATGAATTCCCAGTTAAAAACATGGCATTTTAGTGAAATTGAAATTCCAAAAAATTCCCATCGAATTACTTACTGAATTTTAGTAAAATTAGAGAAAATTTCACAAGTGGAAATCCGAGGAATTTCCGGCTAAAAACTTGGGATTTCGGTTAAATTTGGAAAAATTCCCATGTAATGATATGAAATTTCAATATATTTCGGTGGAATTTCGGTGGATTTTCAAGAAATTACTTGAAGTTTCATTAATATTCCCAGAAATTCCCAAAATCCCAGAAAAACTCGTAAAATCTACTTAAAAATCCCTGAAAATCTTTAAAATCTAAAATCTAACAAAATTTTATTAGAACAAAAAAAATCTGGCAAAATCCTATAAAATTCATAGCAAAAAAATTCCTCTACATTTCCAAAAATCCTTTGGGATCCCCAAAAATCCGTTAAAATCTCTAAAAATCCTTCAGGATCTCTAAAAACCCTTCTAACTTCCCTAAAATGCTCCAAAATCACCTAAAATCTTTTAAAATCCTGTAAAATCATATGAAGATTTTCAAAATTCTACAAAATCAAAAAAGATTTAAAATCTTTATACATATTTTAAGGAGTTAACCACCCCTCGGTGGAAAAAACTAGGGGTATACCAGCCTCTCGAATTTGTGCAAATAATTCCTCAAACTTCCCACAAATTCCTCCAAATTCCTTGCAAATGCTGGTTACAAATTCCCTAAAAATCCCCAAAAATTGATTTCTTCTAAAACGACATTGACACATGTATTGCCTCATAACTTTGTTAATTTCAATCCGATCTTAACGTAATTAAGCTTGAAATAAGGCCAATTAAATCCTTAATAACTCTCTATTAGGTATATTCAGTGCAGCTTCAATAGTTTTGCAGCTGCAAAGCTTTAAAGGTGAGCGCGTGAGAGTAAATTTTTTATTTTTTTTCCTAAATTTCGATCCTATGTTCATCCACTTGCAAAATTTCAAGCCAATCCTTCGAGCAATCCTTCAAACACTTTCCTCAAAAAAAATAAAACGTCCTCCAATGTTGATTTTTTCCAAAATGACATTGAACCACATTTCACTTCACATCTTTGTTAATCTCGATCCGATCTTAACGTAATTAGGCCTAAAATAAAGCCAATTAAATCCTCTACAAACCCTTTAGTAAATAATTTCAATGCAGCTTTAATAGTTTTTAGCTGTTCAAGCTTGAAAGTTTTTTCGAGGTTTTTTTACATTGATTTTTACTCGGATTGTTACCAAAGTGAACAAGGTCTATGGAGTGAGTAAACCACCCCCCTGAATTTGTGCAAAGAATTTTCCAAACGTTTCGCAAATTTCTCCAAAGTCTCCAAAAATTCCTTCAAACTGCTCGCAAATTCCCTCCAAATGTCCGTTACAAATTCCCTGGAAATCCCCAAAATTGTTCGTGATAAGAAATGTATTTTCCTGTTTTTATTACGCTCAGTGTTAAAACCAATAAATTCACCCAATTTCCATATTATTCCTCCAATTTCCCATAAATTCCTCCAAATTCCCCACAATTTCTTCTAAATGAAAGGTGGTTTGCCCCTTGGGAAAAAAATAAACTACACACTTGTGATAAATACATACATATATTTATTCGAACATATAATATAATAAAATACAATGTAAGTAAGGTAAATGTTTAACATTTTTATTCATATATAGAATACTTATTGGTGTGATTTTTATTTATTTATATTTTATACAACTTATGTAAAATATTATCTGGAACATCATGAAATAAAATACACTTATCCTATATAACTACCATACAAAAACTCTAGCAACCCAAAAAAACATACAATACTCCTCACCCTTAACAAATTAAAATAAATATTATTTCTTATCACAGCTTACCAGAGTTGCCTCCCTTGTAAATATTTTTTTCATGCTTTACTAGCAGCTTCCACAATTACTCGTACAGCAGCCATGGCTTCCTTGGCTGTAGGCTGTATGTAACTAGCGGGCAAAACAAACCCATATCTTCCATTATCCCTCAACTCCACTGTATAAGCGTATTTTATTTTCATTGCGCCTTTAGCCCAGTCATCAGAACCACCCGCTGCTGGATATAAGGTATTACCCGCAGGGCCAACTGTATAAGAAGGCCCTCCAGCGTTTCTGATAGCTTGCGCGGCCCTTTGGCCTACGAGCTCTAAATCTTTGTAGTCTGGAGGTACTACACGGTTGTAGCCCCACGGGTAGAGGATGTATTGTCCGTAGGAGTGGAACGAAATGTAGGCTTTCCATTTTGCATTGGCGTTGCTCATAAAACTCTGAACAGCTGCGGTTTCGGGTTCAGAAAATGGACCTGAGCCTCCATAGGTTTCAGCGCAAGGGTTCTTGGATGCTCCAGTACCTCCCCAACGATATCTACAATAATTGTAAATAATTTTAATATACTTATACTATACTATTAATATTTATTTACCCGAAGTTCCTATTTAAATCTATTCCAGCGCATCTGCCAGAGCCTCTTCTATTTTTTCTCCATAATCTGTCAACTGTGTGTGTATACTCATATCCATCAGGATTCAATAGTGGAGCAAAATACCAATCAGTATTTTGCACGTATTTAGGTTCATTTTCCCAATTAGATATCAGCTGGTTGATTATAAAAGTGACTGTAGCTGGAGTGATCCATTCTCTTGCATGAATACCTCCATCAATCCAGACAGCTTTATTACCAGGCTGTTTATTAGAAATCTTCAACAGTCTTATGGGATTACCGTTGACGGATTGGCCAATTGTCTGTTGAGATACTAAATCTGGATGTTGTTCTTCTAGAAAGTCCAGGTATTTGTGGATGTCGTCCAGGCGGTGATAGGCTTGCCAAGTCAATCTGTGACCTGTAAAAAAAACGAAATTTGTTTAGAATTTTAATTAGAATGGTGTGAACACAAAAAGTTAAGACAAAGGAATTAATCCAGCGACACAAACACAAAAATAACCGCATGCTTTACATAATCTGGCATTCTTACGGACCCCAATTAGCTACAGGCCATAGCTCCAATCTATTGCCCATTGAACTCAGGCCTCTCCAAGCAGCATAATAATTAAATTGTAATTTTTTTGCTGAAAATTATCAATCTGAGTCAAAAATTGTATTTGACTAAGCTTGATTGGGGATAAGAGACTTCTCAACTTACCGTTTCTATTATCAAAATCTTCTTCTTCCAAAGTTGGATTCTCCTCTTCTATCGCTTGCTGTAAATCTGAAATTGCAACGTCGAATCTGATGTTTTGGTTGTTGAGTAAACTTCGAACTTTTCCTATAGAGTCACGTTTTACTAGGATATCGACAGCGCTTACGTTTCCACCCCACATAGTTATATCTGAATAATAATAGGAAAACAAATATTTAATTACAATAGTGATACGATTTGAACTTTCTATTTAATGAATCAAAAATTATTTAAAATATAAATAATGTACCAAAATGAAAGTGATTTGATTGGAGGAAATTGACCCCCAAAGAGAAAGTTGTAGGTACTTATTTGCATACGAGATTAATTTAATTTAGATATAATAAATCAATACTCACCTTCCTCGTCTCTTAATTTGGCCAATATTTTTGCTTTTTCTTCACTATCTACAACAGTCTTCCATAGTTGACTGCCAGTGTAAAGGACTCTACCTTCAGGCTGAAACAAACTATCATCATCTTCATTTTTATTGATGTCTAAATTTTTCTGTTCTTCATTGTTACTGCTGGTAATTGGTTCATCTTCTACAGTTGGGGTTGTAGATGTAAATTTGTCTTCATTGATTTTAATGGGAACTTGAACTTTTGATGGTTCTTGCGGAAAATCCCTATATAAAAATGACAAAATTATAGGAAAAATATTTTTATAAAATAAGTACAATTATACCTTTGAATATCTCTACCCTCGCGTACGATTCTAGCTTCAACATACCACCCCGTGAGTGTTGCTAAGAGCAACACTAAAAGTACCGCGACCTTTGCCATGACCGATTGGAACCCACGCGAACGCTGGTCCGCTCTTTATATCGTTTTCGGTACCGATCTGTGACCCGGTTCAAACCAACGGTACCAATAGTAAAAGCCCGCTCCGGTACCATCGTAAATTTTTCCCCCTGTTTATATAAACTGTGTGGGCGGATGATCTGGTTCCTTGTTTTGTCATAAATAAAAATAGGTATAACGTATAGGTAATAAAACTAGCGATAAATTGCGGTTTGCGCTACGCCTTACAATTAACTGTGGTTTCTTATCGCTTATCGCTGAGAGTAGATCGGCAATAATCGTGACGTCTATTAATTTTGAGTACTGCTGTGGTACCGTTCGTTCCATTTTTGGGTCGTCGAAGATGCAATTTTAAGACAAGAAATACCGTAGCTGCATCAGTAGTAACGTTAGGATGGTTGTTTTGAAATTTATTTATGTTGGGTACCATTTTGTGACCCAACTTTAGTATGTATTTCACGCATATTTAAACAGTATGCATGAAAAATACGAGGAAAAGAAAGTTCTTTTGTTTTGATTTAATGGTACAGTGGGTTTTGATTATTTAAATTCGATTGTTGGAATATCAGCGACATTTTTACTTGTTATAGCAATGAATTTCGAATTGATTCATCTACCCACTGACTGATAAAGAAATCCTTATAGAAAACATAATAATTAACAATAAATCTGAAGGTTTATGACTAAGTGGAACTATAGGAAAATAACAATAAACAATAATTAAAAAATTAATCAATAATAATCTTCTCTTATGTAATTTTATTATTTATGGGGATTCGCATTCTCTCACATCTAGGACTTTGCAATAACAACAATAATTCAACTTTCACGAAAAAATGCTCCTTGCGAAAGTGGGAAATATGTTTAATTAATGTTACTTTAATGTCATATTATTATTTTACTTTATTATTATTTCGGCCTCGATTTTAAATTTCGACTCCCAATGAAATTTTCAAGGAGCAAACCACCTAGGAATTAGGTATTCGTCGAAACTGTGGGGAAATTCGAGGAATTTCTAGGGAATTTGGAGGAATTTGTGGGAAATTCGAAGGAATTTATGAGAATTTATTGGTTTTAACACTGAGCGTAATAAAAATAGAAAAATACATTTCTTATCACGAACAATTTTGGGGATTTCCAGAGGCATTTGCAAAGAATTCGCAAGCAGTTTGGAGGAATTTTTGAGGATTTTGGAAGAATTTGCGGAAAGTTTGAGGAATTGTTTCTACAAATTCAGGAGAGTGGTTTACCCCATAGTCCTTGTTCACCTTGGTCGACATCAAAGTAAAAAAACCTCGAACAAACTTGGAAGCTTGAACAGCTAAAAACTATCCAAGCTGTATTGAAATTTTTCACTAAGGGTTTGTACAGGATTTAATTGGCTTTATTTCAAGCCTAATTACGTTAAGATCGGATTGAAATTACCAAAGATGTGGAGTAAAATGTGGTTCAATGTCATTTTGGAAAAAAAAAACAAGCTTCCAAAAAATTACATTGAAGCACGTTTTATTTTTTTTGAGGAAAGTGTTCGAAAGATTGGCTTGAAATTTTGCAAGTAGATGGAGAAAGGATCGAAATTTAAGAAAAAAAATATAAATTTGCTTTTACGCTCTCACCTTGATAAAAATCAAAGCCGCTAGGATTTAAAGCTTTGCAGCTGCAAAACTATTGAAGCGGCATTGAAAATACCCAATAGAGATTTATGAAGGATTGAATTTGCTGCATTTCAAGCCTAATTACGTTAAGATCGGATTGAAATTAACCAAGATGTGAAGTAAAATGGGGTTCAATGACATTTTGGAAAAAAATCAAGCTTCCAAAAAATTACATTGAAGCATGTTTTATTTTTTTTTGAGGAAAGTGTTTGAAGGATTGGCTTGAAATTTTGCAAGTAGATGGAGAAAGGATCGAAATTTAAGAAAAAAAATATAAATTTGCTTTTACGCGCTCACCTTGATAAAAATCAAAGCCGCTAGGCTTTAAAGCTTTGCAGCTGCAAAACTATTGAAGTGGCATTGAAAATACCCAATAGAGATTTATGAAGGATTGAATTTGCTGCATTTCAAGCCTAATTACGTTAAGATCGGATTGATATTAACCAAGATGTGAAGTAAAATGGGGTTCAATGACATTTTGGAAAAAAATCAAGCTTCCAAAAAATGACATTGAAGCACGTTTAATTTTTTTTTGAGGAAAGTGTTTGAAGGATTGGCTTGAAATTTTGCAAGTAGATGAAGAAAGGATCGAAATTTAAGAAAAAAAATAAACATTTCCTTTACGCGCTCACCGTGATAAAAATCAAAGCCGCTAGACTTTAAAGCTTTGCAGCTGCAAAACTATTGAAGTTGCACTGAAAATACCCAATAGAGATTTATAAAGAATTGAATTGGCTTCATTTCAAGCCTAGTTACGTTAAGATCGGATTGAAATTACCAAAGATGTGAAGTAAAATGTGGTTCAATGTCATTTTGGAAAAAATCAAGCTTCCAAAAAACGACATTGAGGACGTTTTATTTTTTTTCGAGGAAAGTGTTTGAAGGATCGGCTTGAAATTTTGCAAGTAGATAAAGAAAGGATCGAAATTTAAGAAAAAAAATAAAAAATTTGCTTTTACGCGCTCACCTTGATAAAAATCAAAGCCGCTAGACTTTAAAGCTTTGCAGCTGCAAAACTATTGAAGTTGCATTGAAAATAGCCAATAGAGATTTATAAAGAATTGAATTGGCTTCATTTCAAGCCTAGTTACGTTAAGATCCGATTGAAATTAACCAAGATGTGAAGTAAAATGTGGTTCAATGTCATTTTGGAAAAAATCAAGTTTCCAAAAAACGACATTGAATGACGTCTTATTTTTTTTGAGGAAAGTTTTTGAAGGATTGGCTTGAAATTTTGTAAGTAGATGAAGAAAGAATCGAAATTCAAGAAAAAAAATAAAAATTTCTTTTACTTGCTCACCTTGATAAAAATCTCGACAAAAATCAAAACCGCTAGGCTTTAAAGCTTTGTAGCTCTAAAACTATTGAAGCTGCATTGAAAATACCCAATAAAGAGTTATAAAGGATTGAATTGACTTCATTCCAAGCCTAGTTACGTTAAGATCGGATTGAAATTACCAAAGATGTGAAGTAAAATGTGGTTCAATGTCATTTTGGAAAAAATCGAACTTCCAAAAAACGACATTGAACAACGTACTATTTTTTTTTGAGGCTAGTGTTTTAACGATTGGCTTGAAATTTTGCAAGTGGATCGAGAAAGGATTGAAATTTAGGAAAAAATAAAAATTTCCTTCTGATCGTTCACCTTCAAGTAGCAAATCACTTAGGAATTTTGTACCAAAACTGTGGGGAATTTGAAGGAATTTATGGGAAATTGGAGGAATGTATGAGAAATTAGGGGAATTTATTGGTTTTAACACTGAGCGTAATAAAAATTGAAAAATACATTTCTTATCACAAACAATTTTGGGGATTTTTAGGGAATTTGTAACATGCATTGCATGGAATTTGCGAGCAGTTTGGAAGAATTTGCAGGGAATTTGTGGGGAATATGGAGGAATTTGCGGGAGTCTGAAGAATTGTTTGCGCAAATTCGGGAGGGTGGTTAAGCCCTTGGAAATCTGATAACTTTATGGCGTCATCTGGGGTGCCTTAACTTAATGCAAATCTCCATATAGGGCACCCCTGGGGGCGGTTAACTGGTCAAAATCCTTGTACAAGTTGGTCAAAATCCCCGAAAATCTCATAAGATCTACTCAAAATCCCTAAAAATCATTAAAATCCTTAAAAATGTAACAAAACCCGACAAAAACCTACAAAATCTCACAAAATTTTATTAAAACTGAAAAAATCCCGCAAAAACTCATATAACCATTAACATGCCAAAAAAATATTTTCTTTACAATTCTCAGAAATCCTTTGGAATCCCCAAAAATCTGTTAAAATGTCTAGGAATTCTTTAGAATCTCTAGAAACTTTTCAAAAACCTGTAAAATGCTCCAAAATCATCTAAAATTTTAAAAATCTAAAATCTTCTAAACTCCTGTAAGATCGTTTGAAAATTTTCGAAATCCTCAAAATCCTACAAAATCAATGAAGGTTTCCCTGAAAATCTTTACAATCTTCAAAAATTTAACAAATTCTCACAAAATCCCTTAAAATCACTTGAAACCGCATAAAATTCTGCAAAATCTCATAAAATTTTGTTAGAACAAAAAAATCCAGCAGAATCTTATGAAATCATTAGTATTTAGTATTCCTAAAAATTATTTTCTTTAAGATTTCCAAAAATTATTTGGAATCCCGTTAAAATCCCAGAAAATCCGGATTTTTAAAAATCCTTCAAAATTCCCTAAAAACTCGCCTAAAAATCTCCAAAATCACCTAAAATCTTATGAATACAAAATCCTTTGAAATCCTATGAAATGAGAAGATTTTCAAGATCCTCAAAATCCTATAAAATCGATGAAGATTTAAAATCTGTGTACATATATTGAGGAGTTAACCGCCCTCCGGGGCACTCCAGATACGTCATCAAGTTACCAGACAACCTATTAACTTTAGGAACCTTGGCCCAGAATAACATGACAATTTCTTTTTGCAGCTGGATCTCGCAACTACACAAGCCCTAATTGAAAAATTAAAATCTGATCTGAATACCAAAACCCTATCTTCTCCTGAAATAAATCGCGAACTGGAAAAAGCTTTAGAGGAACTTAAAGATTCAAAAGAAATAAACACTTCACTTCAACTTCAATTGGACAATGTAAACAAATCTCATCAGCTACTAAAAAGCTCCTACGATGATCTACAAACTTCGAGCAAAACCTTGGAAAGAAAAGTCTTAGAACTAGACTCAACCTTAGACAAATACAAAGCTGAACTGTTCAACATGCAGCAAATCAAAAACAAACTTCTAGAAAACGAAGTCAGTATAAACAAGCTTTTAGAAATTGAAAAATTGCAAACAAAAAGCCTGAAATTACAAAACGACAAAGACTCCAAGTGCATTCAAGATTTAAACAGACAAATTAAAGAAATGGAACGAATTATTGCAAGAAAACATCCAGATTCCGTTTCAGCCCTTATAGTTGCAGCCAAAGAAAATTGTGCCGACACAAACCTAACAGCTAGAAAACTATTAGAAGACCGCATTAAAACATTGGAACAAGAAGTGAGCAACAGAGATTCACATTCCTCAAAAGTTTTCCTCGACATCCAAGACAAATTCAATCAAATGAAGAACAAATACGAAAGTCACATTGAAGACTTGGAGCTTCACGTAAGCGACCTCAAAGGCCAATTAAAACGCAAAATAGACACCTATGATGTTTACACTCAGACGTTTTTTGTGGAGAAAATCGCACGCAAAGAGACATTTACTATAGCGATCCAAACTGATGCTGTTGTCAATAAACCAAAAAAAATAGACAATAAAAATAAAGACGATGCTCATTTGTTGGCTACAATCAGAGGCTTGCAAGCCGACTTGACCAACAAAGAAAAAGTGATTGTTAAACTGCAAAAAGAAGTTGAAGAAATGAAGAAAACAAACAAGAGATTGCAAAAGGAGCGAGAGGGTAGTTTAAGGAATCTCAGCGATAGAAGGGACTTTAGGAGCTATCCGGAAAAGTTGGCATCGCACTCTAGGTCGGACAGTGTGCAAGATTTCCGCAAGGAAGAAGAATTGCAACAGCTGAAGCTGGAACGGAACCGGTTGAAGCAGCAATTGGCCAGATTGGAGGAAGATTATCAGGCTTTGAAGAAAAAACGATTGGATGATGTAAGTAAATGTTGATTGAAAAAAATTTCAGAAATAATTCGGGCCTAAAAGTAAATATTTTTACTTTTCCAAGTAAATGTTGCCCAATAAAGCTTTTCATGGCCAAGGTTATCAAGTAAATTTTATTGCAGCCTCGGTAATTTGAGACGTACCTACTTAACACTTGAACAAATTTGTTTTAAACTTAATTTATTGTAATAAAAGGCAAAGTAAGTTTTTATAACTTGTATTGTCTTTTATCAGAAATGGATTTCTACCATGGAAATGCCAACTCAAGTGTTAAATTATTGGCATGATATCTCGCTATCATTTAAACCTTTTGGCTTTGAATTTCAAATAGGCAACTTATTATATTTTTTTTGTAGATACGTTTTTTCCTAGTAATCTTAATTTAAATGGGTATTGATATTCATAATTTATTGATTAATTCGATACATTTTTTCTTTCTCTCTGGCAGAGCGGTCAATATTTGAAAGTAAATAACTTGAAATTCTACTTCAAGTACATATGAGTATGAATTACTTTTTTTGTTATATACATATAGTTGTACTTGTACTTCCAATATCTGTTGGTAAGAAACAAATATCAATGACAAACTTTTTCGAATCTTGAATTAGTACAGGCTATTTGATTATATTTAAGCCCATCCTTTACAGAATTTTATACTCTTTCCAATGGTAAATAATTTATTCTAATTTGCTTGAAATTCAACAAAGATATGGGCAATTGTTCATGACCATGTCATTTGAAAATAATGTCAGGGTTGTTTTTCACTAATTCTGAACCCACTCTATCGATTGGTAAAGTCAAAATTGAGCAAAATTGGAACATAAAAAAATTGAGTTTTTTATAGGGGTACCCCTTTGAATTTTAATTCCAAAATCTTCAAACCTGAGTTGCTTCGTAACCATTGGGCAAATTGCATTGAAATTTTCAGCATTTATGGCTCCTATTAAGCTCTAAATGGTCTGTAGTTTATATTATTCCTAGGTTTATAGTTTTTGAGCGAGTTGAGTTTGAAGTTTTTGACAAAATTCGGACTAAAAGTCAAGTTTGAGGCTCAATTTCTCTGAAACTATTTGAGATATCAAACTTAATTTTGCACAGATTTATAGAGAGTTTAATGCTCTTTCCAATGGTATATAATTTATTTCAATTTGCTCGAAGTTTCACAAAGATATAGGCAATTGTTCATAACCATGTCAAGATTTTGAAAATTTTCAGAGTCAAAAATGAGGATTTTCTTTTCATTTCTATTTCTGCTTGAAATGGCCATTTTGAAATGATGTCAGGGTTGTTTTCCACTAATTTTGACCCACTCTATCGATTGGTAAAGTCAAATTTGAGCAAAACTGAAAAATAAAAAAATCGAGTTTTTTATACGGGTAGGTACCACCTTTGAATTTTAATTTCAAAATCATTAAACCTCAATTGTTCGGTAACCATTGGGCAAATTGCTTTGAAATTTTTAGCATTTGTAGCACTTATTATGGCATGTATTTTACATAATTCCTAGATTTATAGTTTTTGAGCAAATTGAGTTTGAAGTGTTTGACAAAATTGAATCTAAAAGTCAAGTTTGAGGCTCAATTGCTCATAAACCATCTTAGCTATCTAACTCAATTTTGCACAGATTTATAGAGAATTTAAAGCTCTTTCCAATGGTATATAATTTATTCCAATTTGCTGGAAATTTAACAAAGATATGGGCAATTGTTCATGACCATGTCTGGATTTTAAAAATTTCCCAGAGAAAAAAATAGGATTTCCTTTTTAATTTTTTTTCAGAAATGGCCATTTGGAAATCATGTCAGGATTGTTCTTCACCAATTTTGACCCGCTCTATTGATTGGTAAAGTCAAAATTAATTTTAAAGGGGTACTCCTTTGAATTTTATTTCTAAAATCTTCTAGGGATGTTGATATCGAAAAAAAATATCGATATATATCATATCGATATTTAAAATTAATATTGTATCGAGCGTTTGATATATCGTTGAAAAATATCGATATTTCGATATATCGACAAAAAAATTAAGTGCTCAATTAAGGGTTGGTTTCTCAATAGCGAGTCACCTTCGGGTTGGTTTTAACTTGAGAGTAAGCGTATCCAATTACTATGTTTACCCTGGAGTTATGCTTAACCAGGGGGTGACCTGCTATTGGAAAACCGGCCCTAGTAAAAGTATTATTTTAGTCACTAGTGCCACTATAGGAAGTTCCTTTTTAAAAATATTTCTGTGATACCGCTCCACTTGCTCTGGATCGCTCGAGATGAAACCTCTTAAACGAAATTATTACCTTGAAAAGTTCATAAAGCGTAGACCATGGAATTTTTTTTTGATCGGGGCCGATAAATATATCGAGTAACGATAGTCAACTTTTAATATTGATATACCGATATATCGAAACAAAAATTATCGATCGATATTATCGATATATCGGAAGAAAAATATCATCCATTTGATATATCGATATTTTTTCAACATCCCTAAAATCTTCAAACTTCAATTGCTCGGTAACCATTGGGCAAATTGCATTGAAATTTTCAACATTTGTAGCTCTTATCAAGCTCTAGAAGACCTGCAGTTTACAATATTCATAGGTTTATAGTTTTTGAGAAAATTGAGTTTGAAGTTTTTGACAAAATTCGGACTAAAATTCAAATTTGAGGCCCAATTACTCAAAAACTATTTGAGCTATTAAACTCAATTTTGCACGGATTTATAGAGAATTTATTGCTCTTTCCAATTATATATAATTCGCAAAATATATGTGAAAATATAATGAGCTTATTAGGACAACAATATGAAGTAAAGTTTCCTGAAAAGAAGAATCCCAGAATAATAATATTTAATATAGATGAAAATCAATTAAGAGAAGAACATATTTTCTTACAGAAACTACTTATCCAGAATAATATAAACACAGATCCCAAAGTCAGAGAATTGAAAATGGTACACATAATATAAAAACCGAAGAGGAAAAACTAGTCTTATTATACAAATGGACAAGCTAACTTATGATTGTATAAACAAAAAGGAGACAATACATATCGGCTGGAAAACCCATTCCTATAAGGCTTGAATGTGAAACAGTGTTTTAACTGTTGGAAATATCGTCATATTGCCAAAGATTGCAAAAAAACAATCCCCAATGGCCCAATATGTCAAAATTGTCCTGGTGAACATAATGAGAAAGACTGTACATAGGATTAGCACTAACTGTAAATATGCTGTGGAAATAGGTATTAAAAATACCAAATGTAGACTACAAGCATAAAGCATACAATAGAAATTGTGAAGCATATAAGAGAGTAGTAGAGCAGTTACAAGATAAAGTAAATTACCCTGCGATATGCATAAGGGTCAAAACCAAAGGTAGCAAATAAAGACACAATGTACCTAAATATTTAAGGCATAAAGTCACATAAAGCGGAACTAACATGGATAGTAAATCAATATAAGCCAGTCGTTGTATGCCTCTTGCAGACATATGTAACCAAAGACTTTTTAAAAAGTGAAATAAATATAAGTGAATATAATGCAATTTATAGCACATCAGAGAGTACCCAGACAGGGGGTGCATTAGTGTAAATTAAGAAAGGTTACAAGTACAAGGAAATTCTAAAGATTGATGATAACATGAAAATGTGGATTATTGGAATTGAATCTGTGATCAAGAAACAAAAGTATTATTTCTACAATCTATATCACTTACCAAGTACAAGTAATGTAGAATTTTTGATATGTTAGACAACATTTCTAATGATTGGTGACTTCAATATAGATCTAGAAAAAAAAAATGTATGCCAATAAATTAAGAGATATTATTAACAACCACACTCTGTACCAACTGATTGATAAACCTACTCGCATCACAAATACTTTTGCAACCATAATAGACATAAGTCCAAACAAAAAAGACCTTCAATATGAGATCCGCCTGACTAACCCAAACTAACCCAAACATATCAGACCATTCGATAATAACCGCTAATTTTCATATTGAACAAAAAAACATGTATGAAGCGTTTGGAGATTATAAAAACATGAATACATTAGGTTTCCAGCTTAAACTAATGGATATGAAATGGCCAGTAAACTCTTCCAATATAGACATCTTAGCTGATAATCTAACAAAATCCATGAAGATATGAAAAAAGAAATATTCTTTGGACAAACTGCTATAACAGGTGATGGAATAAGTAACCATTTCAACCAATACTGTCTAAACAGTCTCAAAGAAATTGTAGAAAGTATAACGCCAAACAAAACACAGAAGGTATGCACTAACCACATAAAAGTTGATTGCAAATTGGAAAAGTTTAAAAAAATAGAAATGTCGGAATTAAGAAAAACTCTAGCCAGCATGAAAAATACAAAAAGCAGTAATGATGGTGTTACGACCAAAATATTGAAAGCCGCATTTGAAACTATTGCTCGGTAACCGTTGAGCAAATCGCATTGATATTTTCAGCATTTGTAGCTCTTATTAAGCTCTAAATGGCCTGTAATTTACAATATTCCCAGGTTTATAGTTTTTGAGCAAATTAAGTTTGAAGTTTTTGGCAAAATTTGGACTTAAAATCATCTTTGAGGCTCAATTACTCAAAAACTTCCCGAGCTATGAAACTCAATTTTTTACGGATTTATAGAGAATTTATTGCTCTTTTCAATGATATATAATTTATTTCAATTTGCTCAAAGTTTAACAAAGGTATGGGCAATTGCTCATGACCATGTCAAGATTTTGAAAATTTTTACAAAGCCAAAAATAGGATTTCCCTTTTATTTTTGTTTCTGCTTAAAATGGCTATTTGAAAATGATGTCAGGGTTGTTTTTCACTAATTTTGACCCACTCTATCGATTGATAAAGTCAAAATCGAGCAAAACTGAAAAATAAAAAAATCGAGTTTTTCATAAGGGTACCCTACCCCCTTTGAATTCTGATTTCAAATTATTCAAACCACAATTGCTGGGTAACCGTTGATCAAATTGCATTGAAATTTGCAGCACTTGTAGCTCTTATTAAGCTCTAAAAGACCTGGAATTTACAATATTCCCAGGTTTATAGTTTTAGAGCAAATTGAGTTTGAAGTTTTTGGCAAAATTTGGACTCAAAATCAACTTTGAGGCTCAATTACTCAAAAACTATTCGAGCTATTCAACTCAATTTCACACAGATTTATAGAGAATTTAATTCTCTTTCTGATGGTATATAATTTATTTCAATTTGCTTGAAATTTATCAAAGATATGGACAATTGTTCATGACCATGTCAAGATTTTGAAAATTTTCCAGAACCAAAAATAGGATTTTCCTTTTAATTTTGTTTCTGCTTAAAATGGCCATTTGGAAATGATGTCATGGTTGTTTTCCACTAATTTGGACCCGGTCTATTGATTGGTAAAGTCAAAATTGAGTATAACTGAAAAATAAAATGAATTCTGATTTCAAAACATTCAAACCTCAATTCATCGGTAACCGTTGAGCAAATTGCATTGAAATTTTCAGTATTTGTAGCTCTTATTGAGCTCTGAAGGACCTGCAATTTACAATATTTCCAGGTTTATAGTTTTTGAGAAAATTGAGTTTGAAGTTTTTGACAAAATTTAGACTAAAAGTCAACTTTGAGGCTCAATTACTCAAAAACTTTATCAAGCTCAATTTTTCACGGATTTATAGAGAATTTGTTGCTCTTCCCAATGATTTATAATTTATTTCAATTTGCTCAAAGATCCAACGAAGATCTGGGCAGTTATTTCTAACCGCGCCTTAAATAGTAAAGACTGTAGGTATGGGCTTAAATACAATCATATATCCTGTAACGATTTTGGAATCATGCCCCGCTTGATTTTTGGAACTGAGACTGAGATATACATATATCGGTGGAAAGTTTTCACATATTGTCTCGAGAATTGGTTGACCTCGGCGCTTCGCGCCTCGTTCAACCATAGTATCTCTCGACTTTTTATACAATGCTTCAAGTAATGCCGCTTTACTTGAAGCTCAATGTTTTTACTCAAAGTAAATTACTTGATGAAATTCAAATAAATTTCAAATTCACTTGATAATCAAAAAGTAATTTTAAAAAACTTGCATTTGTACTTCAACTACTTTCGTAATGTACTTGTGCCGGCTCTGCTCTCTGGTTTCTTGGATTGTCTTTCTGTAGATAATCTTAATGGCTTAGTAGCATCATATTCCAGTGAAAGTCTTTTGTTGTCCTTCTTCAATTTTTAGACATATCTCTCTTATGTCAAGTGTAATAAAACAAGACAAATTATGACACAAAACCTTGCCATTTCATTGTCAATCTTTATATAGCTAACCGCTCTTCAAGAAGCCCACGAACGAGAAATCTCCAACTACGTTTCGGGCGTGACCCCCCTCAGGGAACAGCTCGAACTCCAACAAGTTTCCATAGGCACTCTTCAGAATCAACTGACAAAAACCAGAGAAGAATTGGCAGTTGCCTCAGTAGAACGCGATCATTTGAATAAGCGAATGATAAATAGTATACAGTGTGGTGGATCCATAATGATGGACGGTAGTGGAGATGCTATGGAAGTGGAAGCTTTACACAAAAAAGTAAGAATTGTCTATTGATTTTACTTCATTTTTTAAATAATGGTTACATTGACATAGATTTCGTTTTTGGAAAAACGTTACGAGGAACGTGAGTATCGACTGCGTGCAATTGTACAGAGTTTAGCACAGAAGACTATTTCGAACAGAAGCTGTCAACAGTGTGCTGAGAGGCAACAGCAACTGATTGGCTATAAAGTTGAACTAGATCAGCTTTTAGCTACAGTGAGGGCCCTTAAATAATTAATCAGTGTTATATAACTTTTCAGATTTCTAGTCAATATTATTTTACTTAGTATCGTTTCCGTCCTAGCATTAAAGTGTTTAGAATACTGCTGTTATTTATATAAGCTGATATATGCTTCCAGTATAGCTTTATTGATCTCATCTTGTTTGTTTAAATATAAAAATTTTAGGATTTTCTATTTGTAAGTACTTAAAATAAAATGAATTGACAATTTTGAGCATTTTAAGTAATCTTCTGTTATTGTCGAACCGTAATCTCTTATTTTCTTTAAAAAAAAGTTGAGTACAAAACAAATTAAAAAATAATCTTTTAAACAAATAACTTTTTCCTTAATGATGTCTTCTCCTTGTTGAAAACAATACAATGCAGGTGGATAATTTCAAAATGTAAATAACTAAATTATTGTTTACTCTGTAGGTCTTTTGTGATTATGGAGGCCTTCCTTATATTCTATTATCACACAATTATTATCAATTTGTTACAAGATATTGTTCAGTGTAGTACTCCAGTGTCTTTTTGCATTCAACCAGAGAAGCATGGGAATTGGTCAAGTGGAGGTTTAATACAAGAAAATGGATCATTACGGAAGAATTCGTAGGAAAATTAATCCTAGAGAAAAGGCAAATGTTTTTAGTCTTTTTACTTTTTCGTAAGTAAAATTATTAGCATTTTAAACTTGAACTGGTACAAATTTTAGCCTTTAGTTGACAATTTTTTCTTTCCATTTTAACATGTAGGTTCAGTTACTTTAGCAAGTTTAAGGGTTGAAAATTTAAAAATTCGCGGGTTTACTAGTTAGTGAATTTGACTTTTAACACAGTTAAAACTGACAATGAACCATTGAAATTAAAAATTTGAATATTTATTTGAGATTTGTAGTGTGTTAAAGTAAATGTTTAGAGCAAAAATGCTAAATCAATCGGTCAAAAATATGAAAATTCGCTAGCAGCATTAGTGAGTAAAATTGAAATTTGCTGGAGCAGTTATAGAAGGTTTACGGCACAGCCTGATCCAAATCCACACAAATTTATTGTTTAGATTCAAAAACCAAAATCAGTACAGTATATTGTGGTCAATGCCATCTGCAAAGAGAAATTAATTAGCAATAATAATAAAACATAAATATAAATGTCCCCTTTCAATATAAACAAAAATAGCTATCAATTATTTATTGATTGCGAGTACATTGCATTCTTTTAATAAAAAGTGTAATGTTCCAATTTATCAAAGGACAAAACAAATAATATTGTTACAATTGTATTCTGGATTCAATAATATCTTTTCCACCAATACCATTTTTTCTGGTTTCTATCCACATTTTGGAGAGGTGATTTTCACTTCTTACATCTTTTCCATTCACAGACCAGACAGCTTAACGGGACACATTTTATTGGTATTTTCACCCTTCACTTGTCAACCCCTAAGCTAGGGTGATAGGTACCCCCAAAATTTCAAATGAAGAGGGGGTTGAGTGATACGTCATTCGATAGCAATTTTTATTAAGATTATATCCCCAAGGTTGCAAGTTGCTACTATTTACCCTGCCGAAATGACGGCATGTCAAAGTTAGGATAAATGCTTTTTTTCGATTATCTAAACTTAAACTGTATAGTTTTTACCTGTCACACCTTTGCGAAAGAAATAGGTAAAAACCATACAGCATTTTTCTTAGAGCAGGTGAGGCGTTGTCCTACGGACATAAGGAGTAGGAACGCGCCATTCTGCTTATGAAACTAAAGTGAAGCCAAGTTTTTGGCAGGTGTTTGGCACCAAAATACAGGTAAAGCATTGAATTGCCTATACCGCCATTTTTTTGGTGCCAAAATACTTGGAAAAAACTGCTTCATTTTCCAATTCCATGTTACTACTCCTCTTTACCTTTACCTGCTCTAAGGCATTTTTCCTAACTTTGACAAGCCGCCATTTTGGCAGGATAAATATAGTAGCAACTTGAAACTTCAGGGATATAATCTTAATGAAAATAGCTATCGAATGACGTATCACTCGACCCCCCTCTTCATTTGAAATTTTGGGGGTACCTATCACTAACAAGTCAACGGTTAAAATACCAATAAAACGTGTCCCCCTGAAAACAAAATTTTACGGGTCCGAGGGTTTTTGTTTATCTTTTCATTTAAAGCCGTACACCCTGGGACACCCTGTATAATCCACAACATATAGGCAGTTTGAATGGGAGACGTTTGGTCAAATCTTATATCTTCAGATGAGAGGTTTTTTTCAATTTCTTGCACTAGCCTGTGCTTGACTGGCTTTGCTCGGAAATCTCCATCAGATAAAGCATTGGTTGGAAAAAGATCATGCGACAGAATATCTTGGATTGTTAACCCTTTTCTTTCGCTACATCCAAATCCCTATGTGCCTGAGATAACTTTTTTGTTCCCCTTTGTGTAGTTGCTGGTCACTGGTGAGACTTACTGTGACTATCAAAGTGGAGATATTTACATTTGGAAATAGTGTCAAAGAAGCTTTTTGCTTTAGACACAAATCTCTCCTACTTGAACTCTTTATATAGTTCAAATGTGTGTTGTTGGACATCTAGAATACGTTTTTTATATCGTCATTCACATTAGGATGCGTCATTTCGAAGGGGTTTTCGTGTCGTTGCATAAAATGAGGCGGCCAACGTTCTCATTAAAATGTTCTCCTCTCTTTCCTAGGAGCTCGTGTTGAGGCACCAGTTTCACGATGGTCCATCAGCTTCGAATTTGTCATGTCTCTAAAGGCATTGCGGTATACCAACTTCCACCGAATAACATAGTCACACTTACATGTCTAGCCAACTATTGATCTTTGAATAGTCTGTTCCGGCAGTGATGCCAGGCCATATTTTGTTTTGTCAGTAGATTACCAGTCTAAATATCAGTAGAAATCAGTAGACAGATAAGTTGCCTTGTTAAAGGGGTAAACCATTAGGGTATACCTACTCAATTAATTATTTTAATATTATACGTTTTTTCAAATCATTAAATCATTAGAAAATCGAACACCAATACTGCTTATGAGAAATAGTTTATTAATATTAAGACATGAGATATTCCTATTAAATATGCACTACCTATGGGATGCTCTATATTTGGTTCTATATTCTTAAAGAGTACAATTTCCCGATTTCAAAACTATATGGTTTGTCTATATTCGTTAGATCCGGCTCCAACATATGTGGTTCTAAAAATGTTAAAATACTATCAGAGAAACCAAGTAGGTACCTACCTCAAATTTTACCTGCAGCTTTCACCTGTACAGGTAGAATGGTTCACAAAATCAGTATGTAGTAAAGTGTGTTTTTTTTTTAAAGATAAAAGTCAAAATGACATTATGTTGGCAATACAATGTAAAATTGTCAATGCTTTCAAATTTTTTATGTAGAAAAGGCTTGGGTTGCCAACATAGTTACTAAATTTTTGACTTGGGAAATTATCATTAAAAAAAAAATAGACTTTAGGATAGTATTTCTACAATTTTTAGAGCCGAATATATGAGAGACTGTTCAATCAAATATGGACAAACTATATATTTTTGGAATCGGGGCATTGTGCTCTTCAAGAATATAGAATGAAATATAGGGCATCCCTTTTGAAAAAAGCTGGAAGCATGCAAAATTTCACATTTCTAACGTTCAAATTTTGTTTCTGACCATGGTTTCCGAAAATTCAGCCAAAACTGTACAACTTTTGTATTTACACCTTTTTTCTATCTGTAAAGGATGGTAGGTGGAGTTTCAATATATAAAAAACACCCTGCACAAATAAGTGAATTATTGCGGAACTTATGGGTGAACCTCTGCGGGACGAGCGCAGCGAGTTCCGCAGCCATTTACTCACCAATATACTGTTGAACTGTTGAAAAAAAACACTCACCTGAAACGTGTAGTTTTTGAACTAATGAGAAAAATTCATAACTAAGTGAATCAGGTTAGTATTGTACTTGCACAACATATTGGTGAATAGATGGCTGGGTCCCCCCATAAGTTCCGCAACAATCCACTCGTTTGTACTTGAATGAGTAAGTCAGCTTAGTATCGTAATTAAACAACATATTGATAAATAGATGGCTGCGGAACTCGCTGCGCTCGTTCCGCAGAGGTCCACCCATAAGTTCCGCAACAATTCACTCATTTGTTTGTACTTGAATAACTTGTCACATTATGTTACTAGTTTGGTTAAGTAACGTTACTAATTCCTGTTGAAAGGCGAATTGACAAAAAGTAAATAATCATACAAATGCTGACTTTATATTAGTACATTAATTAAAAAAAACAATTTTTTCTTGGAAATTTTATTCTCATATTTCCTGATTTCATATGTTTAGGTTGGTAACACTACATGCCAAATATAGAAATCTTCTATTTATAAAATCGCGAATGACAGTTCGATGGCCATCAGTCAGCCAGTGTTACCAACCTCCGATAAGTAAAAAAGGAGTGTCACAAAGAGCTTCTTTTCGAAACTACTTTTAGTGTCGAAAAGACTTCGATATGACACCAAAATAGAAAATAGTACATTAAAATACAAGTTTCATAAAATGTCTTATGAAACGAATATTTTATACTATTTTTTCTATTTTGGTATTGTTTAATTAAAAAAAAACAAATTTTTCTTGGCAATTTTATTCTCATATTTCCTGATTTCATATGTTTAGGCTGGTAACACTGCATGCCAAATATAGAAATCTTCTATTAGCCGCTTTCCAGTATGGGAGTGTGACGCCCGGAGCTACTCAGGGCGTTGAGCCCCCGAGCTGTACGTACGCGTCAACTTATCAGCTGTCACATCTGTGGGTGGCTATTTATCTATTTATTTCTTGTTATATCTCAAGATTGAACATTTTAAAATATATAGTTTTGATTCTCTTTCATTTTTGATAAATAAAAAAACAAACTGCACAAACAAACAGATAATTATTTTTAAAATTTGACATATTTGACACTAAGACAGGCGTCTCACGCCATGATACTGGAACGGTACAAATCTAGTGCGTGGCGCCCCCGAGGTGCTCTGGAGCGCGCCAATGTGCATACTGGAAAGCGGCTATTATAAAATCGCGAATAATAGTTCGATGGCCATCAGTCAGCCAGTGTAACCAACCTCCGATAAGTAAAAAAGGAGTGTCACAAAGAGCTTCTTTTCGAAACTACTTTTAGTGTCGAAAAGACTTCGATATGACACCAAAATAGAAAAAATAAGTTATTGTTCAACTACAGGGTGTTTTTTTTGACACTCCACCTACAGCCTTCACCTTTAAGCCTAGTACTCATAACTGCGAAATTCGCATTTTTTTGACATAACGTTGACAATTTGACGTTTTATGCGTGTATCAAACGTCAAATTGTCGAAGCAATGTCAAAAAATTGCGAATTTCGCAGTTATGAGTACTAGGCTTTACAAGTAGATGAAAGGTGTAAATACAAAAATTGCATAGTATTGGCTAAATTTTTAGAATCCGTGGTCAGAAACAAAAATTGAATGTCAGAAATGTGAAATGTTGCATGTTTTCAGCTTTTTCCAAATGGGCGGAGTACCTATGCAGTAGAGTAGTCTTAGGGTTGCCACTTGTCCGGTTTTTTAAAGGTTTGTCCGGTGTCCGGACGCATGATGAAAATGTCCGGGAATACCTGGATAACTGTATAAT